TCTAAAATGAAGATAGACTATATATAAAGAAGGATTAATGCCTTCTTCTAATAGGATTGTCAGTCAGTCATGCGTCAAGGGATCTGATGACCACTCTACTTAGTGAATCTCATCTGACTTAAATATCAAGGTTCAAGACTGCAGAATCACCCTATGCAGACAGAGCCTGTGGGAAATATTGGGTGCGGCGCAAATGAGCGGAGGGTGCGGAGCTAACGGTCATTTTTGAATTTAAAATTGGGGTATTTCTGAAACTAAGCCGTTTTGGGACTTCAAATATACCAAGATATGTGAATTTGACACCAAATATCAATAAAATTGTGAAAATAGTAGCGCAATTCATTCTATAGCGACGCAGTGTGCCTTAAACCTTTCCCAGACCTATATATTTTGAGACTATCCTTTTAATACTGCGTCCCCAGCATTCATAAAAAATGGTGTTCAAGATACACTACCCATGCAAATTATTTTTGCATCTTGGAAGCCAGGCAGTATCTGTGTGATTTTATAAAAATTCGGAAATGTTCTTCAGATATGAGCCCCCTCTAAATATTGGGTGCGGAGCTACGTTTATGGAGCTGCTCCGCACCCAATATTTAGAGGGGGCTCATATCTGAAAAACATTTCCGAATTTTTATAAAATCACACTGATACTGCCTGGCTTCCAAGATGCAATAATAATTTGTATAGATAGTGTACCTTGAACACCATTTTTTATGAATGCTGGGGACTCAGTATTAAAAGGATAATTTCAAAATATATAGGTCTGGGAAAGGTTTAAGGCACACTGCGTCGCTATAGAATGAATTGCGCTACTATTTTCACAATTTTATTGATATTTGGTGTCAAATTCACATATCTTGGTATATTTGAAGTCCCAAAACGGCTTAGTTTCAGAAATACCCCAATTTTAAATTCAAAAATGACCGTTAGCTCCGCACCCTCCGCTCATTTGCTCCCCACCCAATATTTCCCAGAGGCTCTGTCTGCATAGGGTGAGAATGCTGAGACTGGATATAGGTTTGGTTCAAACAGAGTAAAGTTCCATAATTCTGATCTTGAATCACCCAAAATTGTTTTTCATTCAGTAAACAAAGCTTGAACAAATTACCCAATTAGAGCAATATTTTCGAGTAATGTTTACAATAAAAAAAGTTTACTAATGTCAGAGACATATAATTATAAAAGAATGTGTATTTAGAAAAGGGAAAAAGAATGGGTGCACATCAGACTTTTGATAGGTGGTCATAGAGCCTGATATATTTGCTCTCTCCAAAAGAATAATAACAGCCATCACCTAAAAGACATTAAATACCACATTAATCCATATTATTTCAGGTTCACTTGATGTACTAGTATATACCATATTCTCTGTAATTAGTGCCTGTCCCTTCAGACCATACTAATGAGCTCCCATATGAAAGAAATCAAAAATATTTGGGAACATGTATGGTAATTTTCGCCAAGAATGGCACCGGCCATCCTGAGAACAGAGTAACAGCATATTTAAAGAAGCGGGGTAGGTGCTCATTAGGAGGTGGGCCCTTATTAAAGAGAATAAGGTATGCAATATGTCTATTTAAAACTTCTGCCTTCCTCCACCATCTCTTCCATGAAGGATTGAGCAGCAGGCAAAGAAGCCATTGGAGAATACAAGCTAGGATATCAAGCTCTAAAAAAGCAACTTAACTGATTACATAATTAAACATCCAAGGCAGTTTTCCAATAGAATATAATACCTTAAAGGTTACTCTGATCATCCTGATTCTGTATTATTTATGTCTCAAAATAAAATGAACTAATAGAATTTTAGGTATTGCTAAGTTGTAACAATAGGCAGTGTTACTGTACTTCTACTTTATTTGGCGGTTGTTTTAATTTGGCGGATCTGCCAAATTGTTAAAGTCTACCAAATTAAGTAGCCACCAAACTCAATATTTCATAAATTCAATCGTAAATATATAAAGTATATACATTTCAATATTGCAAGTCCGCCAATTTAAGTAGCCACCAAATGTTCAAAACAGTAAATTCACCAAAATAAGTAGCGCCAAATTAAGAAGAAGTACAGTAACTTCATACCTTGCCCCTTTATTCTTGGCTTAATTCATTCTTTTCTTTGTATTTTGCATAAAGAATATGATCATGCACAATCATGTTATTTATAAGAGGGAGTCTTATTATCTCCAAACCATGATGATACAGTGTTTGTACTAAGTGTTTTATATATTCCATGTGTCTTACTATCTACGACAGTGAATCAATCACCAGGCAATCAATACCAAACGTCCCTGAGGACATGAGCCCCCATTTGTATTGATCTATCATTTGGACTTATAATACTGAGTGGAATGCAGGCATAAAATTACCAAAGAAACATTGTTGTTATCGCACTTGCTATATTGTAGTCTTTGCTGGTGGGCAATGTGGCTGTATTGATATGTCGGAAGGAAGCACAAGAAAACTGTTCATTTGTTATAACCTGAAATTTTTACAGACAGACAGATGGAAGAGGTTTTGGACATGCTGGGTGGGCATGTGTATGAAGATCTTCAGGTCTAAATTATAATTCTATGGCCTTATTATGTCACCACCAAAAGTGGTGACATATTGTTATAGTTCTTTATGGATGGTGTTCGGCGGTTGGTGTTAGCAGCCGGAATTCATTAGTAGGCATCTGTAACAAATAGCAGGTGGTGGCATTTTACATTTTGTCTTATATACAAAGTACTTAATTCTCTACAAAGTACATCATGAAATTTAATAAGCTTCTTGGTAAATGGAAATCCTCATTCAATTGGCACAATTCTTTAACCCTGTTCTCTGAGGGTACAAACTCATTACGTACAATGCATACTTGCAAATATAAGTTAGCTTTATTTCACACTCAATTATGCTCAGTTTCTTACAAATCAGAGAAGTGATTTTTCATTTTTATCAGAAAACAATTCAATTAATTCATGATATATGTCACAGTAGTGATGAATTGGGCTCCTGTAGAATGATACTTCTTTCTTACTGATGATATAACCCCTTCCTTAAAAATATCACTATATTTGCATTTATTCAGTTGATAACTTTTTACAGATTGGACTTCTTGATTTTATAGCATTTCTCTTCATAGTTTAGAGCTTTTTCTTAATGGTCATTTTATATCTTGCCTATTCCAATCTTTTCACATTATTTGGCATTATATAACATTGTCATTCTAGTGTTTTAGTAAAAGGGTAACTCTATTTCTGTCATTGCCTGATAAATCGTTACAGTAGTTGCATACCGGGACATTTGCATTCAACAATAGTCTATGGTTTCTATCATTACAGATTACTAATCCAATCTAAGAAAGTACATTTATTATTGTATATATAGACCAGTGTTCTTCCAGGAATTTTAGAACTGTTAACAAAATTTGTGACTTCATTATTCTGACAAATATATTTTACAAATTCTTTATAATAGGTGTAAATAGATTTTCAACTGGGTGTAAGATAATTTTTAAATCCTCAACTGAATGCGCAGCCATGTTGCAGATCATAGAAAACACAAAAGGCAGCATTTTGATAGAAACTTCAGGCAAGGGGGGGGGGGGTCAGGTAATTCCCCCCAAATCATATAGTTTTTTCACCATTCTGAGCACTTTTTAAGTAATTTTGGGCCAAGTTGTCAGATGTGAACCTCCCTCCTTCAATTTTTTGAAAAGTGAACCCCCTCCCCTCTTGGCCAAAGCAAGCTGGCTACAGGCCTGGACCTAGGGTGTTTTCGTATCTCATGATTTGCAACTCTTAACTTCATTGTGTACATGTTAGGAGTCGATTTAAGGTATGACAGAGAAGAATGAGTAATATGGCCTTTATATACCCCTGTACTTACATACTGATGTTGGGCTCATGGAGGTTCAAATCACCTCACTCCGTCTACCTTAAATCTTACAAACAGCATTCCATTAACTATTCTAGTATTTTCGTATTATTGAAGCACAAATCTTTAAACTTGTAACAAATGATAATACATCCCTCAGAAAGACCATTTCCCTCAAAGTATCCCATAAACTTTTGTAATTGAAGTCTAATTGATGCTTTTAGAGTTCCGATGACACAAAGTAGCTCATCTATTTTCTGAATCTATTTTGAAGATTAGCTTGGAGGAAATGTAGAATGTCACTCAACTTTTTTGGTGATTTTGAAGTCATGTCTGCACTTTATGGTCAATAAACTTCTGTTGTAATTTGACACCACACTCTAATTTTCCTCACTGACCTTTTATTGTTTTTCGAAACATATTCTCTCAAAGTCAGGAAATTAGGATGATTTTGTAGGGAATTTCAATCACAAAAAATAATGAGTGACAACTTACATTTCCTCCGAGAGTATGTGACGTCAAAGAAGTCAAATGTCATCCATCTAAGAAGCTAGGGTTTAATACTGATATTGATGACAAACTGCTCACTGTACATCAATCCACACTCTAAAATCATGATACTGTATGGTACATTAAGAGTATGGTACCATCTGGCACCGTTTGAGTATAGTGCCGTACAGTGTTCACAGTACTGTATGGTACCATTTTAGCCTACGGTACTGTACGGTTCCATATTTTATGGTACCGTACGGTACCATACAGTACCATTTCCAAAACAGTACCATACAGTACTGTTGCAGATTGGCTGTGTTCCTACCCATGATTTGACACTTATTTGCATTTACTAACGAATGTATTTTATCAACAATACAAAAAATATTTTAATGAGATTTAATGTTACCTCTAATATACCAGTTATTGTATCGCATGTCATATACTATTGTATCGCATGCATTGTCAATGTTGTACAATTATAGTTAATGTTCAATTCTTTCAGCATCAGTGACTAGATCTTCACATTTCTGCCCAACCTGAACACCATTATGAATATGGACATGCAGAATATGATAATATATCAAATATCGTTTATGTAACATTATTAAATAACCACATGAATTATAACACATTGTTTATGTATCTTCAGAGAAAGTCCCTTCAGTTGCTACATTCTATGGGGCACACTACCTGAGCTATGACCTCTCTGACCGAGGGGACCCCATACTTAGCAGTAATGACAGACTCAGCCTCTTCTTCAAGACACGGCAGTCCAATGGTTTATTATTTTATACAGGTAAGTAACTAGGAACAGTTTTAACGTCAAAAAGTGAAATGAGCAATGGAAGAAAACAATAAATACAACAAAACAATTGATATCTCCATAGCAACTGTATGATTCTTGATCAACAAACTACAAGACATTAACATGCAAAATGTCACCACCTGCCATTTGTTATATACACTGTTCACAAAATGCCACCAAAAGAAATCATTAGAACCATTGCCACATTTAATGAACAAAAACATAAACACAGTACTTTATCATACTGTTTCTTAGCTTAGTAGTCAAGCAAAAAATCTCTGGACTTACCCCCGTATCAAATTTGTCTGCTGGGGTGGGGGTATGAGCGGGAATAAGTTCTTAAGATTCTCAGAGGGTTGCTTTTATTTGGTGTTTCGTAAATGTATGGATCTTGAAAGGGAGGGCATATATGATGTTGATGTAATCAGCTCTAAGACAGATGCATGCTCTGGTTATTGTCCCAGTAGCACTATTAACACTATTAACACCATGTTTTCGCCTCATTATGTGGTCTTCTATAAGGTACATGAGATGAGGAAAGGAAACATTAGAACCATGCATTGAGCCAACCAAGCAAATGTTTTAAAAATCTGATAATGAATTTTTCATGTAAAATGATTTAGTGAGAAAGAATTAGATGAATCTATCATTAAAGTTATCATTAAAATTATCATTAGTCTTATTACTTTTGAAACCTGCAGACAGCTCCACCATTTGTGAAGATTATATGATTCTCACATTTAAAAATTCATGAAAAGCACAAAAGTAGAGTCCTCTCGAATTGAATGTTTTTACATATTGCTTATCATAGAAATTAAAAATTAATGATATCAAGAGATTAACATATGTGTTTTATCATTCATATTTTTTCTAGTGATATAATATATTAATAGAGTTGTATACTTATATGTGCCTTATCATTCATATTTGTTCTAAATTCATAAATTATATATCATAAACAATTGACTGTTATATCTTTATCTGCTAGTAAAAACGATCAATCAATGAATAAAATACTCGCAAAGATGAAGGATTACCATTTCTCAAAGGACTGTTTCAACTGATTGGCTTCTCCTTAAAAAGAAATGGGGAGAGAACTTCATCCTTCAATACAAGACTTTTACTTTTTGAGTACATTTTAATGGCATTTTGACCCTTCTGATATTGTGAGTCAGTGATCTCCTGAGGATTTTTTCTCAGGTGGGTGCAAAATTCTCATTTTCACAATACAGACCAAATTATTTTTCATGATTTTTCTCATTTTCAAGGGGGTGCAAATTAATTTTCAGGTGGGTGCAAGCCTATTTTCAAAATCTCAGGTAGGTGCTGCGCCCACTTGCTTTAATGCTGGGGAGATCACTGTGACTAATACCTTGAGTCTTTCATCATGTTTTCATAAGGACAGCTCTCTAGAATAAGGCTCATGATTTCCCTCACTTCATAAAAGAATAAGGGCTGGTAGACCTCCCTCACTTTATATAAGGACTGGTAGACATACAAAAACAATTAATACAAAACAATAGAAAAACAAGGATTGTCTAAGGGCGCATATTTAAATACTGAGGCAGTTTTATTGTATAGATAACAAAGTTAGATCAAAACTTATATTCTAACCTTCGGGTATCTTGAGACCATAGTTGATGGCCTTTTTGCATAATTTTCTTCATGATAAGTTATCTCAGGAATATTTGCAATAATTCAGATGAACTGACATTTAATTTTTCTATTATAATTCACCCGTCAAGTTTTCCCAAATGGATGTTCTTCTCTGATTATGAATCTGCCTCTAGTCTGCTAGGACTATTATGTATGAAAATGAATAATAGGTTTCGGCCTTTATTTTTTGCATTTTGTGTTGAAAAATCTAAAAAAAATATCCCAGAAAATAAGATCAGGCAATTTTTAAGCAGATTAGGTTCAGGTCTAATTTTCGTAACAGCACTACTGGAATCATTCATATCACAGAAGTAGAATAATTTAATACCATTAGTGCAAAGTTTACTCCTGTTGTAATTGTCAGATAACCTAGTAGAGGAATTGGAACTTGGCAACAGATTGCATTAGCAAACTTACCAAGCTCTTTTATGCATGTTTAATCTGACAATTAGCACTGTGTTTTATGTGTAATATCCTATCTTTTATCTCTTTTATGATATGTTCCAAGGTTGCAAATTGAAACAAACAAGATTAGAAAGTCTTTTGTCGGTTTTGATACATATATTGAAGTGAGCATTTAGGAAATTGATTAATGTTGGCCCAGTATGACTACTTTAAGACTTAAATGCGCAAATGTCCAAGTTAATCATACAGACAATTCTTTCTACTGTGAAACTTTTATATTGATACATCTCTCTTATATGAAGACTCCTCAATGTGAACACTTTTTGGGCATAAATTTCCTATTGACTCACACATTAAGAAACCTTGAAATGTGAACACCTGCTGAACTGAACACTTTTGGCTGGTACCAGAGGCGTTCCAATTAGACAGGTTTTACTGTATTTGGCCTACCTAAATTATATGATAGGTTATTATAATGAAAAAGCAAAATTGGAAATGTAAGAAACACATAAAAGCAAACAACGTCTAAGCTAGAATAAAATTGTATGATACTTAATACAATATGGTAATTTCAAAAGCACCTACCTATACCCACAGTATTTGAACTATTTTTGACATACAACAAACATGTCAATAGAAATCAGTTTTGATCAATTGCTCAAATTTTACTTGATTTTTCAGGTGATGAGGGGGATTACATGAATGTTGCAATTAAAGATGGAGGCCTTGTTCTCACGATCAACCTTGGGTCGGGTGTGTATGACAAAGTTATCCGACCTAAAGATGGCAACTCAAGATTTGACGACAATAGATGGCATAAGTTGGTCATAATAAGGGAGTCCCGAGAGGTAGGAGCATATGTTAATTATCTTTCAAGCTTTAGTATAAAGAAAAAGCAATATCATACTTCTTGAAAAATCATACTGCTCTTTTGTTACAAAATTTGTATATTCTCATTATTTATCATGAGTGCTATATTACAATTTTATGATATTTTTAATTTTATCAAGAGGGATATATGTTTTAGAAGAAAATACCAACTTCAAAAGCATAATTGATGGCTCTCATGTTTCCAGTCTTGTTTGCCATTTAAATATGCTTCCATCATATAGATGGCAGTATGAGATATTCAGTGAAGTGTGATCGTTGAGGCTGATTGCTTCATTTATCCAGATGTATAAGGCATCTTTCACTGGCTGTTTTGTTAAACTACATAATAGATTAACATGTAAGCCAATGGATTGTGTGCTCATACTACTGGTATTATGAAATCAGCACTTGTTTCAACTATTTAATGTTACTGAAAAAATAATATAATTTCACCAAGTCTTATGTAATAAAATTAGAGCAAGATAATATGTTGAATATAGGCTTTAGAAAAACATCACAAATAGTTCTGTTCTGTTGATCTTAGATAGGTAGCACACATTGAACTGATATGTTGTATAAACAAATTGTTTCTGCATACATGTCATATAACATGAAACAGATCTAAAAGTCTTAATGTATAATATGAATGAAGTTAATTGTTCAAGTGATTTATGCTCATTCTTCATAGTAGTAAATCTTATTGCCTCATATATTTGTCAGTTTGCCTTGATGTAAAATACTAACGTGCATTTTGCATTTTTCCTCCTTGAGTATGAAGATATTTAAGGTATTTTCCCACATTATAAATCAAACATTTTTTGAGTCAGGGGGCAAAAAGTGAATGTACCAATTGCCTTGTTCTAGCTTATATGACTCAAGTGGAGCCGTGATAGGGGTCAAGCCAAAACATTAATTTCCATCAAAAGACGTAATTGTGCTCATTTATGGGGAAGTGCTAAACACTTATTTTATTTTGTGATGTCATACCAATTCCTTATATTCCTATGTTTTATTGAGGGAAGAGGGTGGGGTTAAAGAGAAAATTATAGTCTGCAATTATGTTTTTGATGGATGTTGCTTTATTGATTTGGCCCTTCAGATCTTTTAATAATTCAATTATCACTGGGAAGTTACCTTTTTGTGTGAAAGTTTGTCCTGTAAAAAGTAATATGTGTATAGTTAGCGTAATGTGGAATGCGCCTCAATGTTTCCCTTACTTAAACACATACATGTGTACATTGAAAGGTAGACACTATCATGAAAGTAGCAGAAAATTTCTATTTACCAATTTGATTTAATAATAAGTCAAAAGTCTGTAAATTTTCATTTTAGGGGTGGTGGCCATGTGCTATTTCTTTCATTTGATGCCTTGGATCATGTGCAGACAACCTGCAATTATGATAATGTCTGTCTTGGTACAATAAAGGAATCCCTTACTAATAAAAAAATATTATGTGTACTGTATAGAATAAATGACCAAATGTTGTGCTCCTGTTTTAAACATCTTTAAAAAACATGCAAATATAAATCGAGTGGTTTACTTCTTAGTAATTCAAATGACACTCTCTGTGAAATTCCTACAGATCCAGTATACTTGGAAATTCCCAAGATATCAAATAGAGAATTCTGAGAGATTCACAAGGGAATTTCCAGAGATTCACTGGGGAATTCCCTAAGATATTCAATACAGAATTATTAGAGATTCACTCGGAATTTCCAGAGGTTCTCTTGGGAATTCCAAAAGATATTCCATTGAAAACTCCTAGAGATACAATATAGAGATTCATTGGGGAATTCCCAAAGATATTCAAGAGTGAATTCATAGGAGATTCAATGGAGATTCACTTGGGATTTCCCAGAGATTCACTAGGAATTCCTTGAGATTCAAAGGAGATTCACTGGGGATTTCCGGAGTCAATAGAGATTCAGGGAGAATTCAAAATAGATTCACCAGTGAATTCCTTGAGAGTCGATGAGGAATTTCTAGAGGTTCACAACATAATTAGGAGAAATTCATTAGTACCTAGATTCAAACAACATCCTATATTTTCTTCAGACGGATAAAAGAAGCAAGGTAATCCTGTGGCATTTTGTGGAATCACGATTAAATATTTAACGATGTGTCACATTTGACATAAACATTTTATGCATGCTATATTGTATTTTTGATGAAGTTATATTTCGTATTTATAACAATATTTACAGCGCTTTTTGCATAGCTTTGGTGAACATACATTTTAAAATTAGATGTTTTTTTATTCAAATGACTGTTGTTTATGTACAACTGTACATGTATTATCATAATAATTTGTATTGTTAATAGAGTAGGATCCCCATAACTAAGCAAATAGTTAACTATTTACCCATCTATTTAGTTGTTTAAGCTAGAAGCAAATTCTTTAGCTATTATATATAGATTTTATGTAGTATGAGATGAACATTACTCATACTCAGTCAAACACACAGCTCCAAGAAAACATGGACAATTAAGTAATTGATCCATATAAGTGAATGGATGATTGACTCATTTCTTGGGGATGCATGGGAGACTGCATTGTCTATACTTCTAGATGATGTGCTTTAGCCCCTTTTGAGATTCAACAATTATGGTGAACTAAAACTAAAAAAATAATACAGTTTACTTCATCTGGGGCATGATTCCTTTTAACATGTTCAAAGAAATCTTGGAAATATCTGCATAATTCAAAATTCTAGAAAAAGTGTTGCAAATTCCTCTATATTCATCCATTGAATTAATTACTTCTGTTGGATACAAAGTTGTCTAGATAAAACAAAATTTATTTTATTATTTAGCTAAATTTTAAGTTCACCAAAGTTTGGAAAACCATTTAAGTAGCAATATCTTGAATTTATAGTGGTCTTACTTTTTTAAAATGGTCAAAACTTTGATATCTTATTTTATACATGTATGTTTTGATAAATTGAGAATTACATACATAGAGATGTGACCAATTTGATATCAATTACTCGCTATCAAATTATCATATTAATAAGTGATGTAATTCTTTGTGCTATTATATATAGTTTAAATCGGCAATATTTTGGCATGAATTTTTCTATTTGAATGCAGTAGGTAGATTGCATCCCTTTTTAAAATTTAAAAGTACTTTTGACTTTCACCAATTTATCGCTCATATTTCATATTTTTAATATAAAATGGTTTGACAAATATATTCTATTCTAATCTGTCTTATTTACACTGTTGTGCTTTTGTTAATCTTTTAAAGAACTTCCTTTAATTAATAATTGTTATTTGTAATTAATAAATAATATAAGTCTCCTGCAAATCCAACTAACCCGCATGTTATATTGATCATTGTCAATCTATGTGAAGAAGGATCATTCAACATTTATATGTTCATTGTCAGTTTTTATCGAATCGACGTAACATGCTGTGCATGTAAGTAAGTCTCATTCATCTAGCTCATCAGAGTAGCGGGATTCATTCACTGCGGGACTAGAATATGACAATAATAATCACATTCTATGTTTTGTGACGTTTACGCATACAGCTGATTGTGGACAAGGGTATTGGTTATGTAAGTAACCATAAATATTGGTCATGAACGTTAAAGTTGCATTATGGGTAATATGTAATATCTTGGAATTTTGGACATGCAGATTTGTTAAAACACTAGTCAATTTGAACCACTATTGTCAGATTTCAACCAGCTCTAATCACAGAAATGCTAAATTGTCAATTAAATTGACTGTAATGTGCTTAAGTCTATGTCATACACAAACTAATAAATCATAACTCATGAGGGTTGTCCAAAAAGGTCTTGCAATTTTTGTTCTAACTTACAGATATCAATAATCTGATTGGACATTACTGCTGACCAATTATCTATCTTGCATCTTTTTTTTTTATTTCAGTCTGACCAATTATATAGTTTTGTAGCCTTTGTCCTTTAAATCTGACTCATTATTCGGATTCCTCTTACTATTTTGTGAAACTCTGACCAATCATGTATCTTGCATCTTATTTTTGCTTCAATTCTGACAAATTACATGACCTCTGACCTTTGATTTAATTCAGATCAATCATTTATTTGGCTTCACCCTAATTCTTGCTTGTTACATTTGTATCAATCAAGCTGGTCCCTCTACTTTTTAAAAAGATTTAACCAATCATTTACTTGGCTGACCTTATGTTTGTAAATAATTCCAATCATTCATTCAGCTTGCCATTTTCTTGTTTAAAATCTAAAACTCTAGCTGGCCTCTATAGTACTTTTAGGTGATTCAAACTGACAAGTGTATTGTAGAACAATCAACTTTTTCTCAACCTATTTCCCATAATGCATCTTGTTGTTGTATCATCGCCAGTATAAATGGTGATGTGTTTTGTGTTCCTCATATATGGAGTCAACCCTTGTGTTCTACATATCGTATATATGTATCAACATACATGTGATAACCTTGACTCCCCTCAGTGTTATATTCAGCATGGACCTTTCTAGAGATATCCGCCTTGGTCACTCTAAACCCTACCACACCCATGTTGTCATCTGCCCAAATGCTTAAAGGTATTGACTAATATAAACACATATACAATTTAACTCTCAATAAAAAGTTCTACACAAAAGTTTGAATAAGTGCAGACATATTACCAGGTCTTTATCTTTTTATTGGAATTTGGTGATCACTTTTGAAAAAAATTAATTAAAAAAAAATTCTTTAACATTTATTCAGTAGTTATCAGTTGTTCTTAGTAATTAGATTTCTTTCCCTGTTCTTCATCAACTGAATAATATCAACTGGATCTTATTGTTGTGTACAATATCTAAAATGTGACTCAGTTTTGATCAAACTTTCCTGATGAAACTCTGATTGTTGTATATTTGTTCTTGTATGTGTTGTGTTATGATACATCAATTTAATCATTTATAGAAATCATTTATTATAGAAATCATTTATCTGAATTATAGGGATATTTCATACCAATTCTTTTCTTACATCTATAACTTTTAATTTGTTAATAATCGCTTGGAGTTTTGCCTCCTAGATTAATAAACTACAAATATGTTGCAGCTTGTAGGGAGTTAGCATTCATTATGTTTTACTAGTGCAAAAAAACAATATGCATTCATAATATTTGAGACTTATAACTTATCATACCCATATCTTACCCTAGCCTACCCTAGAAATTGTATTATGTCTTGTCTTTGACTGCAACCATTAAAGTGAACCCCAGATACAGAATCGAATCCCCAACATCCATAACAACAAGATGTGGGACAATGGAACATTCTTACAAAATTAATAGCCACCTGCAATTGGAGGATGTCGTCCCCATGTTTGAAGCACCAGAATATTCACATTCATCATACTGGATTAGAGACAATTTCAGAACTTCTCCAAAATATTATGAATTTCTGAAGTTCATTGTTATATTCAGATATAAACATAAACACGAAGGAAATTAGAAAAACAGGTATCACAGTTCATAATATTTTTGAGAACAACCTCCTTGATTCAGTGAATTGGAAGCATTTTGGTGCCCAGTCTAGTGATAATACCCAAAAATATATCTGTAAAGCTGTGTTTGTAGGTGACAATTGAGGTTGACAACAAGAAGGTTGGGAGTGGGACCACAACAGGGGACTTTACCATGCTCTCCAGTAATGTATTATATGTAGGAGGGAGCCCAGATACCAGCAAGTTACCTGGTTCCAGGGTCAAGAGCAACTTTAGGGGCTGTCTCAAAAAGGTAATACTATAGATCTAGAGCCATAAGCCATATTAGAAAGCTCATAACACTTTTATGGGAAAAGCTCATAACACCTTTCAGGGAAAATCCCAATAAACGGTATGAGCAAATAGATATAAGAACCCACAAACAGCTGTTATTAAAACCTACTTCAATAATCATATTAGCTTACAGAAAGCTCATGCAACATCCCAAACTTTAAATTCAAAAAGGTAATCAGTTTATTCACTTTATAATCTAACGTGAAAGACTTAAAAGGGTCACAAACACTCAACATTCAAATAAAATTGAAGTAACCCCCTGGCATATCTGTAAGGTTTTTCAAAATTTCTTTTTGCCCTCACATTTTTCAGATTTGTGTAATGGCAGAGAATCAAAACTTTACCAGCTTACTTCCTTAACAGTTCTGTGCTTGTCACTTAGTCTTTTATCCTTAAATGCTCTACCACATTTGCTAAAACGAAGCTTATTATTTCATACACGCTAGATGTCTAATAATAACTTAAAACTTCATAATAATGACAATTATTGATGAGACATTTCCAAATATATTGAATTCACCAAAGCCAGCAAGACATTACACAATGTTTTATCACAGAATTTCTCTCTCAAATAACTCATTTCCTTTAGCTTAATTGATAATTATTTTTGTTAAGATACAAAATTGAAGTCTGATAAGCTGGTATTGAATTGCATAATCTCATTTTGAAACTGAAGATAAGCGAGATGGGACTACACCCCATATCTTCTCAATATTCACAAAACAAAATTGATTTTTGATATCTTGATATATCATTTTCATATATGTAGGGATTTTATCACAACACGATGGAGGTTCATTAACATTGAGTCAATGGAACAGAAGAATTTGAAAATAGCTCCTTTCTCAAAAGTGTTCCAATTGAGTTTTACTACTATACATGGCGTTCAATAAGTACTGATAAAAATGCTGTAACTTTTTTATTTTTTCATATATCTGACTAATTTTCCTCGTGAGGATTGTTGAGTATTACACTCATTTACTGTTACATGAATGTGCTTCAATGGGAATGTGGTGCTGGGTCAGGTCAAAGGTGGTTAGTGGTGGATCAGGTCTACATGAAAAAAGTTTCAAAATGACCAACTCATTGAATATTGCTCTTCAGTCAATCGCTTGCACACAAACATGTCACACATCAATATCTGTATATTTATACCACATCTAGATATTGCCCTGATCTTGGTTTGAAGCTATTTTGACCACAGACAGTATAGACAGAATGATAACTGGTCAACAGATGGTTGAAGATATCAATATTGTTGTTTCATTAGTGTGTTCTTAGACCACATATTCCCTGGAGATTCCTGGGGTAAATACCTTTAGTCTTAAATGATTGCATACTGAGTGATGACACATAGACAGGTCGAACAAAATAGGACCAGATTGTATTTATTTGTGGTTCGACTGATTTCTTGACTTTGTTTTGCTTCCAACAAACAATGACATTGCCTAATTTTGACTCTATACAGATGAATGTCTGAATGTGCACAGTTCAGTCTAAACATAATAGGCAACATAAAGAAGACAAGGTATTAATACACAAAATGCAAACCACCGAACACCAACCACCAAAAGCCAACCACCGAATACCATCCACAAAAAGTCAGAGAATAAAACAATATGTTACCACTTCTGGTGGTAACATAAAAACAATACCTATAAACAATATCAATTGATTCCAAGAAAAACAACTTAAGCCAAGGGTCCGAAATCCAAAGATAAAATATTGTTTCTGTCATATGGGACAAACATAACCATATATTTAGAAAACACAGAAATCATGACGACCACAGCTCTGTTAGTAATCAATACTACACATAATTACATTGACTCAGTTGTGTTGTGATGACAGACTGTCCAGCAGGTCTATCAGTGAAAGTAATTCCAAATGTTCATGGTATCTTTATAACATTAAGTCCATCATCATGCTATCATAATTGAAATCACAGAGGCCAATCCTTAGATCTTCTATCCTTGAGGGAATGAATTCTGTCACACTTACTTAACTTCATGTAAGAAGTATCTAATTCCTTAAAAGCATGCAAAGTCACACAGCCAATTATGTGTATGAAATCCATATATTAAAAATATATGAAGAAATCATACGATAAGATCACATGTATAAATGTGCACGTATGTCCAAAAAATCTACCAAATCCAAACCAACCCAATTCATGAATAAAATAAGATTATTAGGAGTTATATTACTTTAGTAACTCCATCCTAGTCTAGTTTAGGTAATCAATTTTAGTGTCAGATTGAAATCACTCATCCTTGAAAGTGAAATATGTGAATTTTCAGACCCCCTCATCTCCATTAGTAAGCCATGTCATAACAATACATAACAGTAATTGCTAATTATTCTGGTCAAATTATAATTTAACAACATTTCTGGTATTTCTCTTCAAAGTTTTGCATAAGAGTGCAAAAACCGATGCTAGCACATACTACTTTGCTCTAAATGGTTCCCCATTTCTGTTTTTCTTCTATTTACGTTTTTGAATTGATGTTGGATTTTTCTATTGATGTCTCAGTTGAAATGCGATTGATGGACTTTTTGACTTTGGGATGTTTTGCTTCTGGGATGTTGGTTTTGAGTATGTTACAGTATATAGCAGTGCTGAAGATTGTTTTCAATGGTTGATTTCAATTTGTGTTCTGCAATTTTCCCCTAATGTTATAACTTCATGAGTCTTGCATCAAACCATTTTGTACACCCCCTCTATAAATTATATACATATCTATTTATATTCACTTATTGTGATACAAGACTTTGATAATAGTGTAGCTTCAGAAACTTTACAATCACTGATGACATCTATATAGATACAAAAATATCCATAGTACATAAATTGTAGTACCCTAGCTTATATTTCTTGATTTCAGTATCCAAATCAGAAAAGTTTTTCGAATTTATCAAAATATAGATTTTATAAATACAATGAATGTTGAACAAGAAATCTTACAATCCTAATGACTACACACATTTTTTAATCAAAACTTTCCTAGAATTAAAGTATATTGCTCATAGGCCCCCCGAAGAAGTAGTAATACAGATGTCGAATCGCTATTTTATACATCTTCCCGAGGCCTATGATATTTTGTTTGTGTTTACAGGTTGAGTACCAGGCTGATAGTATACACCTCCGTCTCATAGAGCTAGCGCGTAACAAGCACAACCTCATGGTAACCCATGGTGACATCATGTACGACAAATGTGAATCTCTTGTTGAATCTCAGCCAATTACATTCCTAACCCCAGATTCATTCATTAAGGTACCAAAGTGGGAGGCAACGCAACATGGCACTATTGAATTTCAATTTCAAACCACAGAACCAAATGGATTATTAATGTATAACAATGGGGCGGAGACACGCTCTGATTTCTTCGCTCTTGAGCTACTTGATGGCCAGTTGTATATGATAATGGATTTAGGTTCAGGCGCTATTAAAGAAAGGGTTTCCAAACAGAAAATAGCTGATGGTGCACCACATAAAGTGAAAGTTGACCACCATGGAACAGCTGGAATCTTTACAGTGGATACTAAACAGAAACCATATAAGATGCCACCTGGGAGTGAGCGCTTAGATTTAGATGGTTCATTGTATATAGGAGGGATTAATTCACGCACTGATGCGTACCTTCTCCCACGTGAATTGTGGTCAGGAATGTTAGGTTTTGGTTACGTTGGATGTATGGAGGATTTAACTATCAATGGGGAGCGTGTGGACTTATCACAACTCTCTCGGGAACAGGAAGTGTATGGAATTGGTGAATATTGCCGTAAGATGGAGCCACAATGTACAAGTAGGCCATGTATGCATCATGGGATATGCCGTGAAGGCTGGAACAGGTTTATATGTGATTGTGCTGCAACTGCCTTCACTGGGCCTTCATGTGAAGAAGGTAAGACATGGTCACATTAACATTTTACTAATTTTTATCTAAACATTGAGTATGTGCCAATTGCATCCTGTGATTGTATGTTTTCCTTTTAGAAGTAAGATCAAAAATGTTTATTAGCAATTCTGTAAAAGTCCATGAAATTAAAGAAAATTTTACCGATAAACCTTAAACATTAATAATCTTTATTGTCCCCAAGGTGCTGCTACTCTAGCGTTTGATGGCACACAGTACATGAAGCTGACCATGCCTGAAGAATCCAAAACAGAAGCTGAGGACATCTCTATTAGGTTTAGGACCAAGCGTGAGAATGGCCTCATATTTGCAACAACATCAGTTAAGTCCAAGGATAGGATGGAGTTAGCTGTATACAAAGGAACAATACGCTTGGATATCAACTTGGGTAGCGGGAGCAAGGTACATGATCAACAATATACATGTGTACATGTGAACTATATGTATTTACAGTAACACCTGTGTAAAGTGAACACTTATGGAGCTACAATGTGTTCACTGTGGGTGGGTATTCACTACAGAGAGGCAATTTTATACAAAAGTCAGTGGAGTATGTGCTGAGAAGGGGTGTTCACTAGACACAGGTGTTCACTAGAGAGAGGTTTTCACTAAGACAGGTTAACTGTAAATGTGTCGAATCGATTATCATCACTTGAAAAAGTGTTATATTGTCACTGTCTTCTATTGATTGGCATGTGGGCAGGCAGGTGCCACAACTAAACTTGGTAAACATGAATATGTATGGCTATTGCAAAACTTTACTGAAATATACATCACCAGGTTACTTACATATACAATAATGCATCATTATTTCAGACAATGGAAACTGGGGCAAACCTTAATGATGACAAATGGCACACAGTACGGATACGACGTAGGTCAAAGAGTGTTCATCTGAAGGTCGACAATGGACAACCTGTCAAAGGTATTCACAAATCTAATGATAAATAAACTTATCCTTTATTGTATATTTTTATGTTTTCTTTGTTTTCTTATCAATTTAGTGATTGTCATGGGTCAAAATATAAATGGGTGACTAAGGCAATATTTCAGTATATCAACTGAAAATAAAAATGGGTCAACCCAATATGTCTTTACTCAGTCTTAAACATACCTCGACATAATTCCTTAAGGAGGCATTGTCTCGAGGGTTTCCCAGACAATCAGTGATGTCCCATTATAATTGCTCATATAATATCTTACATACCTTAAAAATATCTTGAGACCAAATTATGGGTCCAGTATTGGTGATATAATGAGAAAATAAACAGAACAATCAATTGTCAGAACTGTTATGAAATTGACAACGTAAACAGAGGAGACAATATCTGAGAGTTGGTAGGTAAATCAATGAAACTGTTTTACATCTTCTTATCCAAAATTATCAAGGGGGGTACTCAAATTGTGTTTCTTATGAGACATTGCCTCTTTAAAAAAATAATGATCTTACATTTATTTAAATATCTTGACTTCTATGTTCATTTATTCCTTTTAAGTTAAATCATTTGTTTTAAGTCATAGTGTATCAATTCAGAAACCTTCCAATGATGCCTGTCCTGTTTAAATAGTTTTATGAGAAAAAAGATTTTAAAATTCCCCAAAAATTGTTTATTTTGTAATTTGATAGTTCATAGAGGCATAGTTCACCCTAGTTGGTTTATGCTTAGTTGATTTTGTGCTTTGAAACATAATGTTTCTCATAGAAATAGATTTAAGAATAGTGATAGTCAGGTTAATTGTATTATAATACATGTATGTATATCACATCATTCAAACAACATGTCAATTTACATTGCAGGGGAATATATGCAAGTTTTATGTAAGACCAATAGGTGTTAGGGTATTGTTGTCATAGTTGTTCACTGGAGTAGATTTTTAACTTTCACTTGTTCAATCAAATGGTGTTTTGAGATGGGTTGAGGTATTTGAGGTATTTTATCTATTTTTTCTTCATGTGGCTTCAGTTGAACATGTATACTTTTATGATGCTGACATTTTTGGGCTTCAATTTTTTGTTATTGAAACAGGTTTTAAGGGTTTGTCACTGAGGCAAATAAATGTTATGCCTCTAAGCTAATCATTTAAGTTAAAGACATGGATATAATGAAAATGAATTGAATTAAATATGCTAGAATCATAGTTTATTTTATATAAATGCAACTTGAACCTTGTTCATTGGTCATTTCAACACAGAATCAAAATCTAGCGTAATAAGCTAAAAACAGATCCCACTCCATATATTATGAGGTTATATAATGGTTGATTCCGTATATCGTGTTTATACTCAAGTGAGTATATGATATACTCACGAGTGACTGAAGGGAACGAGTGAATATATCATATACTCACGAGAGAATAACGATATACAGAATCAACCATTATATGATTTTATTATCCCACCCTAGTCTTTAATCAATAAAAGGTTAATCTAAATTCAGCAGTTGTATATCAAGTCGAAGAGTTGTATACGCTGCCCAGGAGTTGTATACGCTATCCAGGAGTTGTATATCGTTCTCAAGAGTTGTAAACGATGAGTGTTGGTTTTATATTGCAGTTATACAATGCTATTATACAATCATATAAAGCACTTAGGGTGGGATAAAGCCATATATAGGTATATATAGCCATGTCTCACATGCCCACTTTTCTGGACCCATTATCATATTTACCTGTCTAATTCCAGATTGCCATTTTATTCAGTAGCTTAAAATCAACAAGGGAGGTTATATATACAATCTAAATCATGCCTTTTAAAATATAATATAATATATATATTATATTGATAAGAGAAATTACCGTTGGTCTTTTTTTGTTTTTATCACAGAAAAAATCATGAAGCAAATTTATTTATATGTAAAATTACAACAATTTGTAATGTTTCATTTGAAAAATTATGTAAAAATATGAATTCCAATTTAATTAGAGGTGCATGTACAGAGTAGTAGATTACATGTACTTAGATAACATCAAAAATGCATTAATTCTTTAAAAGACAGATACTCCCTCATGTGTGGAAACTGTAAGTGTGGCTCTAAATGGGTACATAACATAGAAATTAACATATAATAGATGCATTTTGTATATGTTGTATAAAGGGTATGCTAATATCAAACTTAACTTTCAGAAACAAGCGGCCGAATTTTAAGATGGAAAGTAAAAATGGCGCTTGATGAGGGTAAATCTCTAATTTGGAATGCCATCTGCAATGCCTTGATAGATATTTGGTGTTACATCACTTATATTGTTTCTTATTAGATATAATTGCATCTAGCTAAGAATTGACATACAAATGTATTTAGAACAATGATGAAGTAGCTCTGAATGGCAGAATTGAACAACTGCAAAAATCAGCTATTTCATCTGATACATAAATCAAAACATAGTTTCTGAACTTATTTTAATGATATAGTCCAAGTCATAGATATATTGTAAACCGTGAAAAATTTGCATCATTAAACTACACAATATTGCTATTTTTTTCGCAAAATAGATCTAATACATTTTTTCAGGTTTACAGTGTATTCTCTAATGACAGAATGACAAATTCTTATATAACAGCACTTGACATGTAAAGATGTTCAAGTCAATGCTCAGTCACTGTGTGCTATGGACTGTATGTTAAGAACAATGTCTTACCCAGAGCCTGCAGAAATGACATGATGGTCTATTACACCATTGGGAGCTCACATTTTTCTGTTTTTACTCTGGGCTGGCGAGTCCTTGTACAACATGGTGGGTTAAAAAATAAATTTTGAGATTGATAGAAAAAAATTCTGGTCAAGGGTAGAAATACCCCCATCCTTAATATACATGTATAAGCTCTGTTTTTCTGAGGCTCTGAGAGAGGCTAAATACACACTTCCATCTATAATTATACACTGATAATGTTATTGTACAAGTAAAGCACTTCCTACATATGAATGTTACAATGTTTCTTTTTACAGCACAATTTACAGGGTGTCCAAGAAGTATATATTAGTGGTGTCAATTAACTACTTGAGCATTAACCAGTTAACCGGATGTTTTTACCTGTTAAAGTCGGTTAACCGGCGGGAAATTTGAACTGATAATTTCAAATGAAATCTTCATCTTCGATCTTGAAAGTTGAAAAAAATTGGAAAAATGATATATCAGCGTTTATTTTTTACGTTCGTCAAGCTTTACTCTGTTCTATTCATACACTACCTGACTACCGGTACCTCTAAATTACCACACTGGTTTACCCTTGGATCTCCACGAACGCACCATAACAACGAGAATTGCAGCTGATTAGTGTTTATTTTGATTTTAATTTTCTCAGTACCAAAGCGAGGCTTTGACCTTTGACATTTTGGCGACGTTGATAGACAACAATAATAACAAAACTGAAGAATTAAAAAATGCATATAATTTATTTATGAAATAGTTTTGCAATATGAGTTGATTACAGATTGGCTGACACTTAAAAAACAAACAGATTAACATGCAAAGTAAGCGCGGGAAAGCAATGTGGCAGGGATTAAAGGTGCTGATTGGATGTTTGTAAGGAGTGATCGGAACTATCACATGTATGAGTAGCTCACATGAAACTAACACTTGAAAAACAAACAGATTAACATGCAAAGTAAGCTCGGGAAAGCAATGTGTCAGGGATTAAAGTTGCTGATTGGATGTTTGTAATGAGTTATCGGACTTATGACATGTATGAGTAGCTTACGTGAAACTGACACTTTAAAACCAAACAGATGAGCATATAATATTAGCGCGGGAAATAACAGAATTATACACGGTCAACTAACCACCCATAAAAACACAGACCGTTCAAGGCATTATCGGCGGTTAACCGGTTAATACTTGACACCTCTAGTATATATTCATCAAATCTTCTTCAAACACCTTGTATTACAAGCAATTTACCTTTGCACCATATGAGAGTGATTTATTCTGACAACTTACACCAAGTTGAACTTATTGAAGATCTTGATTGCATCTTGTACCAAATGTGTTAATAAAGCAAAGGAGTGTCAAATCTGTAACTGTGACACCATGCCAAGTTTGGAACTATGACACTGTGTCGAGTCCGTATTTGTTATACCATGTTAAGTCCGTAATTGTTACACCATGGCGTAATGGTCTTGTTCTGCACTCAAATATATTATACAAGTGTTATGTCTGATTTGATAAACCCTATAGCTGATTCATGTTTGTCATTTCTTCATATCTTTACATAAAAGCCAGTAATGTCTGAAATCTTCATGGTGAAAAATAATCCATCAACTCAACTTTTTGATGATACCTTCAGGATTGATCAATTGTAGTGGAATAATGAAGTTTTTACCCCCTCCCTGAAGTGAAATTATCTTTGTTAATCCACAACATTTGACAAATGGCATCATCCCTGAGGGCTGTTGTATATGTGAAAAGACAAATCATGAATTATAGGTACATATCATCCTGTTCTCCTTTCCTACATGCCTCTTGAAATCAATGCTTGTCTCCTGCAATCTTTCTCACATTATCTCTGCACAAATACATATCATCATTATTTAGACCTTTTACTCCAAGAATAAGACATAGCAAACACTGTGATAATATTTTAAATCCTTTGAAAGTACATTTCCACGCCATCAGACTTTGACCATTGTACAAGTCCTTGATATAACACTTAACAAGAGTGACAATACTACACATTGTCAAAGTGAATGCCCATCTGGTGACCAAAGCTAGGTATTACATGTTGCCTGGTTATGTTACAGACAAGCTCTCGGGCAAGCGTCAAGCTCTACAAGTGAACTTTATCCATCTAGGCTCTATAGTTCTCATCCCTAAGGGTAACTACTTTGCCTTATATGCTATCTGTTATGTTGTTTCCCATGGTAAAATGCATTGCTGGTCATGCTTTAAGGTGAGGGAAGTGGGATGACTAATCTGTACCTACTTGTACAGGACAAAATACTAGTTAACGTCAGTTGGTGAAATTAGTTATGTACTCTACCTACCTTAAATTGCAGAAAATACAAGGACCAAGCTAAAGACTTGTGTCATCAGGAATGAAGAAAAATCTCATCACCTAATTTCAAAGATAACATTTTCAATACTTTGATTTCACTACTTTAAAAGAAACATATGTCTACCATTAAACTTTTTGATACAAATTTGAAATCAAGAAATGAAAAAGAAGTGGCTAAAGCATGATCAGGTAATGGCATTTTAACCATGGGTCTTCCATTATAGCACATTGTTCTGTTCGTTCTGTATGTGTTTGTACATTTTGTGTTAGTCTCATCCATACTATATCTAGCGCATTTATTTTGTTGTGATATGGCTGAATTGTGAAATGCTTTTACATTCTAAGGTGTTGACTTGGTGTCACTTATGTCCCAAATAAGTATCACAATTCAGACATTATATACTTTCTCTGTTATATCCATATGTTACACCCGAATGGTTGTTGGTTCCACTGGTAGATTATGTATACCATTGCTTTATCACTGCTTGCACAGGGTGTTTCATAATGACTATTCTTCCATCAACTCCCATATGTTATACATCATATGAAAGCTTTTTCAATTGTAGACTTATTAAAACCTTTTACATATTTGTACGATTAGCTCAGCTGTGGATGGAGGGACAGTCAATTTGAAACACCCTGTACAGGGATCATGTGATAATTTTGTATACATACTTGTATTACAAGAACATGCTATAAAATAATAAAAACATTGTGTCTCAAGGAAAACTTTTATAATTTATTGTTTAAGATGAAATGTCTTTATTGTACATGTTTTACATTGTATGATTATCACCTTGATCTAGGATGGCCAGTTTCAAAACCACAATTTTAATTTTCTGCTGTAACAATCTTCAAGTCTTCAAATCTGAATTAGTTGTCAATTATTTTAATTTTTCACTGTTCTATCTTTAATGATCACATCTATCTTACTAACATCTCATTCTATATTCATTCTAACTACTGTATATACAAAAACATCTCAAACATATCCTATATTGTAATATCTCGAGAAAATCTGGTCTAATTTTCTACTATTCACAGTTTTCTTTGATTACAGATGATCACTGGTATATAGGTAACAACAGCAAGACAATTTTCCTCATTATAATATTGCATTTTGCATTTTCAATTATTTTTATCTATTTTTATTGGCATGCACATTTCATGGTGTTACAGGTGTGCAATGATGTATCAATATTTAGCAGTAGGCTTGTATTGTTTGTTGGTCTACATGGGGTTGTACTTGTAAATGTGTGGTGGCAGTTTCGGTCTTTTTTACTTAAATATATACAGTATGAAAGACAATCTTAAGTTTCCTTGATTTATAACAAGGATTTTTTCATCCCCATGTTGATACATACTTTTGCAAACACAATGATATCTGCTTCTAAATAGAGCTCAGTTTATCTTTTATGCACAATGTTCCATACTCAATAACTACATTTTAGAACAGCTTTCAACAACACTTCTCTTCTTTGAAATTTCCTCTATTTTTATATACGATACTTCATCTTCATTAAAAGTATACATGATACATATACATATGAGTTGAGAAAGATATGGTTCTGATAGAACATTGTAAAGGTTTGTTGCCAAATAAGTTAGTTTTGATTCTACTAAATTCTTCAGGGAGTTCATGTGTACATATACCACATGAACCATATTTTATATGTAACTTATGTTCAATATTTTTTGTTACAGACAGTATGCAGGGTGACTCCAGCATCATGGAATTCCAAGACATTGATGTCGCAATCAAACGAAAAGATGATGGAAGATCGCGATCAAATTTTGTTGGTCAAATGTCACAGTTTACATTCAATGGAAATCAATTCTTTGAAATGGCCATGTCTGGAGAAGTAACAAATATAGAAGTCACTGCTACATTTGATAAAATGGAAAAGCTAATCCAGAACCCAGTTACGTTCAAGTCATCACATGCTTACGCAATGCTACCCAGACTCAATGCATACTCAACATTTAACTTATTTTTCCAACTGAAAACAACAGAACCAGATGGTCTCGTCATGTTTAACAAAGGTGAAGGAGGGGATTTCATTGCTTTAGAAATGGTGAAAGGAAATTTACATTTTGTTTATGACGTAGGAAGTGGACCTCACGTTATCATATCTGATAATCCTAAGAAACTCAATGATAATAAATGGCACGACATTGCTGTTTTACGGCCAACTCTAAACCAGCATATCTTACGAGTGGACGGCAAATCAAGAGTTGATCATTTAGGAGATTCAAAAGAAGTCCACTATGACTTACTAGAGCCTCTGTATCTTGGGGGCTTGAGTAAGCTTTTATTTAACAGCCTTCCAAAGTTGATGGCATCTAGGTTTGGTTTTCAAGGCTGTATGGCATCCTTTGACCTGAATGGTATAAGGCCAAGGGTAGTGGAAGACAGGGATGTGACCATACCTGGGGAGTACCTGGATCTTATTTCCAGTGGATGTAATGGTAAGCGCAAACTACATACATTCAACTTGTCTAGCAAATAATAAGTTTAGCTTATTAGCTTAGAAAAAATTTTGTTTTTCATTTTGGACTAATATTTCTGTAAACTGAAAATTGATAATTGCAAACTGATATTTTTGTATGATGTATTATTAAAAGAGAAATAAAAATGTAAAAAAAGGTTTAGCTTTAGAGGTACACAGGGGTTACAAAATTTCAGAAAATGAACATGTATCATAATAGATAACAAAGTATGCTTAAAAGGTGAGAGTGAGTATAACAACAAACATGACAAACATGCACAGTAAATTCTAATATATCTTGGACAACTAAAATCTTGAGATTGACTAACATCAAAAGGAACATGGTTTCAGATCTGATTACACTTCCATACAGAAATGACCTCATAATTGGTGGAAAATTATTTTTCTGGTAAACATGAATAGCACAAAGCATCATGCAGCATTTTCTATCTGTCTAAAAGATTTCTGAGGAGAGCACTGTTTAGGCTAGATGGGAAGTGTATATTTTTCTTAATAGCTAGTGTATATTTCCTGATTGATGGACTGAATTCTTCCAGGTCCAACTGTAACATGCAACAAAGATGCATGTGATCATGGAGGAAGGTGTGTACAGGCCTGGAACAAGTACACATGTGATTGTGATATGACGTCATTCAGTGGGGATACCTGCTCAGAAGGTAACAATCTGGCTGCTATTATGTAAAAAGAATTTACTGGTGGAATGTTATTTTAATGGGTAAAATTGAGAAACAGACAAACAAAACCCTGCAAATCATATGAATCTTCAACATCCTAGTTCCAACATGAATCACATGACATGAATTGTTCCTTGAATTTCTTTTCAGAAAGTACATCATATCAGTTTGGTGAGAAGGGGGGTCTGATTACCTTGACTTACCCAGAGGGGGAGAGACCTCACATGAAACATGATCAGATAGCCCTGGGCCTAGTCACAACACAGAAAGACTGTATCATCTTGAGGATTGACAGTGATAGGTCAAATGACTACATAGAAATGGAACTGGTTTGTTCAGTTTGTGATAGTTATTTCAGAAATATTGACTCATGTTTTCCATTATGGTTTAATGTGCATTTCAGTTACATCCTTCATATTTACAGTTATTTGGGGTTCCATTTTATAAATAAATATCTCATTTACTCCAGGTTGATGGGCAGTTATTTGTGGTGTATAACATGGGATCATATGACCACCCCATTGGAGAATTTTCTACCCGAATCAATGATGGGCAGTACCATATTATAAGGTTTGCCAGATCAGGAGCCAACTCAACCATACAGGTGGACAACCATGATAGGCTATTCAAGTACCCAGAAGGTAAGATTGCAGTAATTTTCCCTTTATAGATCATACCTTAAAAATTTGTTCCCGATTCCATTTTTGAGTTTCATCAGATATTTTTTACATATTGTAGTGAGTGAATGATATATGATAAGATTTAAACAAAAGCATGATATATGCCAGTAGTGTTATTAAGTATTTTCTCAATAAGTACTGGGTTGATTGAAAGATGGCAGTGTTATCAGTTCTATAATGGTATAAAACGAGGCCTGATTAGGCTGCCATCTATTAATTGGCCCAGTACCTATGAATATTTTGTTGCTGTGGTGTATTTGATCGAGCATGAATTGAGTCATAATTGCTATGATTGCATTGTTTTCTTTCCTGTTTTAGCATCAGGTATATAAGTTTATATCATTGAGTATAAAAGCACCATAAGCCAGGTACCTGTGTGGCCTAGATTATTTAACAATTAGAATTATATTGTGATGTCATAATATAACTTTTTGTATATTGTGTTGATGTCCCCTGTAACTTTCATATAGTTGAGATTGTCCTGCTATCCAATATTCAGATAAATGACTCAAAAATCAAAGATTACCAACGCATTTGAATTTCTTTGTTATCTCATCAACTTTAAAAACCATGAACAGATTGATGACATACAATTTCGTCCCTGTAATACATCAAGATAGGCCTAAATGATACAGTATAGAGATGGTATTTATCCCCAAATATTGTTTAACACATTGCACTATGTAATATTAATAATTATTCCATAATACTACTGTTTTCCCAGGGAAATATGAAGGAATAAAAATCGTATTGAATCGTATTACATGAAAAAATCGTATTGTCCCCGGGACAAAAATCGTATTGGAGCATATTACATGGAAAAATAGTATTGTCCCCGGGACAAAAATCGTATTGGAACGTATTAACCTATTTTTGGTTTTCCCGGTTATTTTTAACCTTGACTAATTGATAAAAGCATTATCCAAATGTAACATTTTAAGGAGGAATGTATTATGGAATAAATAGGTTATTTCTGGTCGGGATTGAATATGGGTTTTATTCCTCGGAAAATATGATATTGACCTTGGGAAATATGATATTGACACTCGGTCGCTGCGCTCCCTCGGTCAATATCATATTACCATTCGGTCAATATCATATTGTCCCTCGGAATAAAACCCATATTCAATCCCTCCCAGTAAATAACCTATATGTGCCGTATACTAGTATTGTCCAAGTCAATATGTTTGTTTACTAACGTGCCACCCAATACACACCCGTTTTTTATCAGATTAAATAAGAACTAATGCAGCAATGCCTTAGGAAGACCACATTTTCTTGGTAAATTCAGAGAGTACAAGGTCTTGATTTTGAAGCAATCTAAAATTCTGTAGTAATCTGAAAAAATGCTCTTTGTAATGTCCTTCTAGTAATCCCTCTTCTCAGAGTGAATTAGTTATAGAAGAATTAAAATGTATCAAAACAAACCATTACACTTCATTTACTCATACATGTATCTCCCTAAAGTGTTTTCTGGTGTTTATGTCGCAATACAACATTAAGTAAGGAACTGAAGCATGTATTGTATCTCATATAAGATTATTTTTGAAATAATTTATTTAATATGGTGTTCAAAAAGTAATGATCCCAAATAATATGATTTATTAATTTCATGCTAGTGGATTCTTCAAATTACAGCATGTTAAAATGGTTACAAGTTGTAGCCTACATGATCTTCTTATTACTTTTGGAACATGCCTAATTTCATATATTGATTTTGTTATCAAGTATTCGATTGGCTCGCTGATTCATATATGACAGGTAACAGTCGAGATATGATTCTATGCACTGATATATTTGTATTATATTTATTTGATCTCACAATTACTTTTAATTATTTTTAGATGTAAGATAGCAAATTCCATCGATTTGACATCTTCCAGCAATGATTCCATGGCACATTGTAAACAATTTTACAAATGAAATTTTTTCACACAACGTTACTTTATCGAGTAGTCTTTTTCTGATTCAGGATTCACAAATGAGTTGGAAATGGAGTCTTTCCTGGGACTTGTTTTTCGAAAAATTGAGAACATACTATCTCAATTTTTATGCTATCAGATGGAGCTTACTTTATATATTACCATGTTTAACAAAACAACAATATATTTGGAAATACACCTCCAAAATATATTGGTTTGTGACATGATAATAAAATGAAGATCAAGTTTATTTTCAATTGTATTATAACAACAGTTGCTTGGTAAACCAAGTGCCAAAGGACGACATTGTCTGTTTTATTAATTACATTATTGAATATTTTCCCTCAACTCTTTGCAGTAGAACTGGGAATGCAAATGTTTATTCATCAGCTTTCACCTGTCTATAGAAACGAATCATCCCTATCTAATCTAGTCTTTTAGTCTCTCATGCTTCTCTATATATCCTTGTCTGATATAATCAACAAAATGTATTAGAATTTCCAAAGCTTTCAACTCAACTCAAGCTTTACATTACTTATTTCCAACAGTCAAAATATATGTAATATCAAAATGGACAGCATAGAATGCATGTTATTAGCTTTTTCAAAATCAACCCTGTCCTTTACTGAACTACCAAAAGCACCACTACTCCATCTATATGATGGCACACTTTAGTGCATGAGCTAGAAATCACATAAAGAACTCTTTAAAATGTTAAAATGGTCTTGTAATGGTTCACCCTCTTGTTTCCAGCACATGGTTCATCCCTTAAAGGGTCATGTTTCCACTAATATGATTCACATCTTAAAAGAACTTGTTTTCATAACATAGTTTACCCCTTAAAGGGTCATGTTTCCAGTACATGGTTCACCCTTGAAGGGGTAATGTTTCTAGTATAATGGTTCACCTCTTAAAGGCTCATGTTTCCAGTACATGGTTCAACTTTTAAAGGGTCATGTTCCCAGTATATTGCTCATGCCTAAAAGGGTCATGTTTTCAAAACATGCTTCACCCTTTAAAGGGCCATATTTCCAGTACATGGCTGACCTCTTAAAAGAATGTGATTCCAGTACATGGTTCACCTCTTAAATGGTCTTGTTTCCATTACATGGTTTACTCCTTCAAGACTTTATGACCACAAATTTCATCATACTATTTTTGTGTTTCAATTCAAAGTCTAACAACTGCGGATCTAGCCAGCATATAGCATTTAACACCTAACCATGCATCACAGTTGAAAATTTGTAGTATGGGAAAACCAGTCCAATGAAGATAATTTTGACCCTTTATACACACTGCATATAAGTGTACAGTGCAGTTGGTGTCAGAGAACAAAAGGGGTATTATACATGCTATATGGTACAGTACATTCTATCTAAAGGACAATAAACAAGGACTAAATCCACCTAAAATGTGACAAAGTATAGAATATTAGTCAAACATACATTTGAAAAAGGTTTTCACATATACAAGTTTTACTGTACAACAAACACTTAAATACATGTTTATAAATATATCACGAAACCTCTGTAATTTTTAAACCATTTTAGGCAAACAGTTGAATATCTTCAATTACCAAGCATTCCTACAAGTAGGGGGCAAGATCCCAAAGCACCATAGGGTGCATAGGGGCAAGAGACAAGTAGAACGGCACTTCGAAGGCATTATAGCTGGTATGTACTATAAGCTGAAACTGGATTTGAAGACCTAATTAAAGTTTTAAAATGCTTATACATGTACATACTTTTTCACTTTTCTGCAATCTGATAATAGTAATAAGGAAACTTAAATACAAATAACTTGTATGATAGTTAGGGTTTATTTTCCCTATATGTTATGACTGGTATACTCTTTGATGCTTTGTTTTCATTTTTGCTACTTTCATACGGGCACTTTCACATACTTTATTCAAAATTAGCTTAAAGTTTAAGACATCCGATATATTTTCTCAATGCTTTACAATGATATGAACAGTTTGTTTGAGGTCAGATGAGTAGGCCACAGGGGTTCAACATTTTTTGTTCTAGGACTTTTCATCAATGGATTGTCTGTACTGGATCTGGCAGATTCTGATGACCCAAGAACAAGAATACAAGGGGATGTTTCTAAATTGGACAGCCTTAGTGAACACCTTGTTGGGTAAGTAACTTTCTAAATCTAAAACACACTTGCACTACTGGCAGATACCTCTCTTATACAAGCAAGAAAAATCATTAAGGTTTTGTCAAGCTTGTAACTAAACTGCTCAAATCTGAGCAGACTTAAGGGTTTGTGCACAGCACTGTATTTAGTATCAAGTATCCATTCATGGATTTATATTTAATTTCCCTCTAAAATCATAGAATATACTTGAAAACCTTAATAATTTAGTGGTAGAGTATTTTCATTAGATTGTACATTAATCTGGCACCAATGTTACTTTTAATTTATCATATATACCCTCATCTATTTCAGCCTTACTACCCGTCCTCCTACCAAACCAGTAGTTGAAAAGCCAGGGAAGGACACAACACCTCCTATGCAATCTACCATGGGTCTCAAAGCTACAGACCGACCAGACCCTGTAACTGATGACATCATATCCTCAGGGGTGAGGCCATGCCATGATGCAGATGATGACGATGATTGTGACACCCAAGCCTCTGGAACAGATTTGCTGATTACGCCCCATGTAAAGTGGCTCACTACCCCAGCACCCCCTGTTACTACGACTACAACAACTACAACTGCTGATACTAGGTAATGCTTATTTTAAAAACATGTTATTTTCACTATCATATTCAACACTTGGTATACATGGTAATATGCTGCCAATTAAAATTGTCCCAAAGTTTTATTTGCCACATCATTTAACTGTTACTTTAGCAAAGCAACAAAAATGAACTCCAATGTTATACACAATATTTATCTGTATTTACAACATTCAACATTCGGCTGATATGAGGTCTAGTCTGTTTCCTAGCAAAACAGTATGTCTATCAAATTCAAGGATTCTAATGACTCAATGATTTTTGTGTAGGGTATAACCAGAACTTAATTCTTCACATTCAATCTGCGGTTCCAATGCTTCACATGTTCATGGTCACTCTTACAATGAGAATGGTGCAAAGTCCTCCAAATTAAAAAGCAGCTATTTGGCATGTAGTATGATTTTTTATCCCATACTTAGACGGGTTACGGGTAACAATGGAGAAAAACGCAAACAATCGCGATCTGTTTGATGCTTTAGAGAAGGGAAGGAGCAGTATGCCCCGTTAATAATCAAATATTTGAACAGGAAAATCCGGCTACAGACAAGAATAAAAAACTTGACATGAATATTTTAAAATAATTCCACGATTGGTTGCAACAATTGAACAATGTGATTGGTATGGGATAAACAGATCATCCTATAGTCGGTTCAGGATATTGGGATTATCCCTTGGCCAATATAATATATCTTCCCTCTGGACCTACGGCCCTCGGGCAGATATATTATATTGGCCTCAGGATAATCCCAATATCCTGAACCTCATATAGGATAATCTCTATTTATCCCATACTTTGACGTGTTACGGGTACATAAAGCCGGTTTATTATATTTTCATCAGCGGGTAGATATAGCTTTACGTCCCGCTCCGAGCGGGCAGATATAGTATATCTGCCCGCTACGTCATAATCGCTGTTCCCGTATTTGTTATTTTTTTGTAACGTTCGCATACTGTAAACGACAATGGAGAAAAAACGCAAACAATCGCGATCTGTTTGATGCTTTAGAGAAGGGAAGGAGCAGTATGCCCCGTTAATAATCAAATATTTGAACAGGAAAATCCGGCTACAGACAAGAATAAAAAACTTGACATGAATATTTTAAAATAATTCCACGATTGGTTGCAACAATTGAACAATGTGATTGGTATGGGATAAACAGATCATCCTATAGTCGGTTCAGGATATTGGGATTATCCCTTGGCCAATATAATATATCTTCCCTCGGGACCTACGGCCCTCGGGCAGATATATTATATTGGCCTCGGGATAATTCCAATATCCTGAACCTCATATAGGATAATCTCTATATATTTTCAGTTTCACAGGACCATGTGATGATGATGAAGATTGTGATTGGTCGGGAAGTGGGACTGAAAATCCTGAGGTGTCGACAAACACTGATGACATCTATATTACATCAACAGACCCTCGGGTTATAAAAATTCCTGGGGGGAATTCTTCGAAATATCCATATACAGGGGATACCCCCTCAGAAACTACAGACATAGTAATCATTGTCAATATGACTGATGAGACTTCAAAAAAACATAATGGTATTACTCAAAACCCTACGATAGTGACATCTATGGGTGGAAAAACAGACGGAGGAACAAAAACTGTTACAGGGGAGCGTGGAAGTCTCCTAGATGGCAGCAGTATCAATATCTGGCTGATTATAGGAATATGTGTCGGAGGATTTGTATTTCTCATGTTAATAGTAGCATTCATTATGTATAAATTAAAAACTAAAGACAAAGGATCATATAAAATTGATGAAAGTAAAAACTATAGTACTTTACAACCTGAAAAATTGTCAAATGGAGGAACTAAAAATGCTCTTACTTCAAAGCCAAATGGTAAGAAAAAAGCTGTAAAAGAATGGTATGTATGATCAGATTAAGGGGTCTACAAGGCCCCTTAAACACATTGCAATAATAATGCAACAGACTATAAGGAGGATGAATACTCAGTTTTTTTAAGTCCAGATATACAATATATAGTATAGTTGAGGTTTTTGAAAAACACAATGGATTTCTATGGCAATGAAGCAATTGGGTGCTCCACACTCATTCGAAATTTTGAAAATAGGTTTGCACCAACTTGACAAATGGAAAAATCATGGAAAATCAACATATTTTCACCAACTTTGGGCAGAACGTGTTATTTTGCTATAAATACATTCAAATCCAAAGGTAGTTTAGGTGTGAAATAAACATGACCAAAATCATGATGTATGCATGGATTTTTTCTTTATGTTCAATATGGTTTAATATGCTCTGGTTCAATATGGAAGCTAGTTGGGCTCTGAATATGTGCCAAAGCATGAATACTGTTTTGGTTGTACCAATCTCAATAGCATGAAGAACCTGTAATTAATGCTTGGCATAATAAGTATTTCTCTAAATTATGAAAATAATCATTTAAGATGGCCACTCTGATTTTTAAATATCGTTTCTTAGCCATATATCATTTTTTAACATTTTAAAAAATTTTTGTTGAATTAATCATGTATTAGATCATTTCTCATGATCTTATCTTATTGCTTCGTAGATATCATTCAAAATGATCTGATATCCTGCATTTAAGTCATCATTAATTCAGAAGTCCATAGAACCATGTTTAGCTCATCAATAGTTGCTTATTATGGGGTTCTAGATCAGTATACTTGTCCAATAAAATGTAAATAACAAATACAGAAACCACCTTTTGTTGCCTATGACAATGGTGGAACAACATCAATATGATGTTTTATTAATGCATCACGCATTGCTCTAACAATGTAAGTCATGATGTCATAATAAATAAGCAGACTTGATGGTTCCTTTTAGAATGTTTCAAGAAGTAAATCATTAAAACCCAGAAGTTTAAGCTTGTAAATATGCTCACCTGCACAGTGGGTTAGAATAGTAATTTCTGTCTAAGTTTCATCTCTTGAATGCTTCTTTAATGAAGATAATACAGTAAAACTTGTATATACAGGGTGTCCCGAAAGTATGGGGTCCCCCCTAGGCAGACATATACCAGTGTCGTCATAGTATGTGTCATAAATTATTTTAAAGCTTATCCAAAGTTACATTGATTCACCAAGTATCATGGTTCAACTCTCAAATGTGAAAAAATTACAGGTATTTAAAAATTTAGTGTTTGGTCAAAATTAAGTTCAATTTTACACCAAATCACTAGTCAATGTGTCCTCTCGGGCCATCTTAACAGCAGCAATTCTTTTCGGATTGGATGGATATTGAGTTGGAAAAAGAGAACGGTGAGGGTAGAAACTCTAAGGAAACTCTTCTAAAGTCCCTTAACAGGTTTTAAGAGGGTTATAAAGTTACACACTCCTATTTGAAGGACTTTTAAGGTCATATCTGAATATAATTGCCGCTGTTAACACGGTCAAGGGGGGACACATTGACTAGTAATGTGGTGTAAAATTGAAACTTTTAAAATGACTGTAACTTTTTCCCATTTGGGAGTTAAACCATGATACTTGGCAAATCAATGTAACTTTGGACAAGCTTTAAAATGATATATGACACATACTATGAGGACACTGGTATATGTCTGCCTAGGGGGGGCCCATACTTTCGGGACACCCTGTAGTGAACACCTATGGAGCCACAATGAATCAATCACTGTATGTAGGTGTTCACTGCAGATCGGAGTGATCTTTATACAGGAGTCAATGTTAAATGTGTCTTTTAAGTGGTGTTCATTAAGCAAAGGTGTTCACTAGAAAGAGGTGTTCACTAAGACAGGTTTTACTGTATCTGATATACTAGTAATCATTCCAAATGTGTTCCTTGTAATTGTCACATCTGTGGCATAGTAAAATAAGCATCATAGTAACTTATCTGATCTGTTATCTGATCTCTTTCCCAATTCTATATTAATGTAAACAAAAATAATAATTCAATTGCTTTGATTTCTAATATTTATTTGCCAATTTCAGTTAATTTTTTAAGACTCATATTTAACAAAATACCAGCACCAGTCCTGTTACTTTTGGAACACCCTGTATTTTGTTCTTTTACTTGATAATGACAGCTCGGATAGAAGAACATGTAGAGACAATAATTAGTATAGTAGTTTTTTTTATGAATTTCAATTATAGGTACGATGTACTTGAACATGTATATAGGCTGTTGTAGGCTGAATGAATTGTACATTTTTGTACCATATTGTATTGTATTGTATATTATTGTACATAATGCATGCCATAAAGATATTGTACATATTGCATTAACTTATTGTAAAATGTTAGTTGTTATATATCAAGAAATTGTACAATAAACTATTTTTATTGTACATATATATATCGGACATATACTTTATACCACAATGATGTAGTAACAGAAACACAGAGATGAACTCTCAAATCATGTACAGTAAAACCTGTCTAAGTGGAACACCTTTGTCTTTGGTGGCTCTAAACGTATTCCACTTGGAAGGTACTAGTGTCCACAGATAGAGGTTCAATTAACACTAAGTCAGTTGGTCTTGGGACTCTGAAAAGTGTTCCCTAACATAGGTGTTCCACTTCTAGAGGTGTTCAACGTTACAGCCTTCACTGTATTTCCAATAATATAAAATCTATGTACATGTATGTATGTAGCAATATTTGTAATGAATGTATATAGATGAAGCTTTAGAAAATGTATTGATTCATTCACCAGCAATCATTGGCTTTTTGAATGTTCAATTTGGATGTTCCTAAGAATCTTTGCTTGAAATTTAGAGACTCAACATTTCATTGTAAAATAGATGTCTCATCATATGTGCTGGACCTAGTGTTAAGTTGATTGAACATAAAAGTACAGTTTGGTAAATATTGAACACATAATTCTGTAACAAAATATTCCCAAAAATTATACATGTTCTTAATTTGTTCATTTAATTTCATAATGCCACACAAAAAATGCTAAGATGTGTAATATGTATGTTTGTTATGTTCATGTTAGTACTAATATATACTGCGAATACAAAGTGTATAATTTAATGAAAAATATCAAACCGAAACTGCTTGTTTTTGTTCGTAATGAAAAGTTCACAAAGTATGTGTTAGATTAAATAAATCTCATTTTGAATACATCATCAAATACACATGTAAATATTATCCAGGAGCAAAATGATTTATGAATTTTACGCCAGGGTTATCCATTTCGTAACAGTTCATGCAGCTATCAATCACTGAGTCGGGATCTGATACTGATCATTTTATACTATATTGTTGTAGAGGTTTATCATGATAATCAGTAAACAAATCTAATGAAAACCATTGTTTCATCAGGTCTACATGCGTCACACTTGGCTCAGCCCACAATGAAAATGGCAACTTTTCCATACCATTTTCCCAAAAATACAAGAAACTTGAATCAAGGTTGACTTGAACTACATGCTACAGTATGACAACAAGTTTATTTGCGCTAGATGTTATTACCTTTACTCAAAATTAGGTAAATGTGTTGTTTTGAACATTAACAAAGATATGTAATTTCAGTGTGATACAGGCATGTTATTTGACTCTACAATGATTACAAGATAAAATCTTGACATAGTCCTTGATTTAGTCCTTAATACACATAGTTCTATTTCCAGTCACCAAGCATAATAATAGCAAAGTACAACACTGAAAGAGTTCCAGTCAACAATGTGATTGTTCTCATCATCATTATTTCTGTCATCATTACTTTTAATATCACAATACCAGTTATATCATAGTAGTCAATATTGTCATCAACCATCTCAGGGCAGTAGGGAGAGGGGGTTCCGAGGGTTCGTGGGTTCCCCCCCAAAATCTTGACTAAAAAAATTTGAATCCACCTTTTGAGTATTTCAGTAATTTATCATTTTTTGATTACCTTAGCTATTCGAGGTATATGCAAAGATGGAAATAAGAGAGATGTATAACTTTATCTTGAGTAAAACAACTGCGAATACAGAAAAACGATCTATTTTGAGATGGTGATAATAGGTTTGCACTAGTTGTATTTTAGGCCTGAAATACTGTTTTAATACCATCAAAAGGGATTCAATTGCACAAACAAAGCATACTTACCGAGCATAAACTATCTGATTGGGAAATAACGTCAAAATGATCCCTAATTTATGATATAAATCTGAGAATTTTGAACATGTGAAAGTTCAATGATACAATACACGTGATGCAAGCAAACTGGCAAAAATTAATACAATTAAGCAAATTTGGCAAATGTTAAGCAAATTGGCAAAATTTAAGCAAAATAGACAGAGATTAAGCAAATTTCACCACATTCACCATTATATATATTCAAACCCTCTCCTGTCAAAGCCACTGCATCTTGCCATCATCCCTGTCTGCAAAATTGAGTTGTTTAAGACCTCAACAGAGGGTGACCAAATTAAACTGAATACATAATTGTGGAACATGTATCACCAATATGTAAGTTTGTTGCCATAAAACAAAGTACATATGTCCGATACTCAGTAAATATCTCAGTCTGATCTGTTATGTTCATGTTTTTGTTTCTTACTCATTAGACCAGATGAACATAGTGGAAATAAATCCTAATTAATACTATGTATCATGTATTAAGGTATTGAATGGGATTAACTTACACCTTGTATCATTAATTGAAAGCAATTTCCTTGTACTCTTAACTCAAAAACAAATATGAGGACAAGAAAAATGAGGCTTTACCTTTCAAAATATCATCACCTGCAAATGGTTGAAAAGTGCAACAATTGTTACAAATCCCAACCACTGATACTACAAAGAAAGAAGAGATGGGTCCCTGAAAAAATGGTAAAATATTTCCCAGAAAGAAACAAAAATGAGTCCTTTTTGTCCATGTAATACCAATTAAGCATTAGATAGACTAGTTGATCAAAAAGTGATCAAAAACAGTTTTCACAGCCTGGGTGCTTTTGGCGGTAGGAAGGTTTAGAATCATCTTAAAAAAGCAATCCAGGACAGATATTTAATCTCTTGACAAATGTATCCTATCAATTAAAGTACATTGGTCACTAATAAAATACACATTCAATTATTAAATGCTTCAGGTTTACAAAAGTCTCCCATGTTTTTTCCTCTGCGAATCACCCCTTACATTTGCCTCATCTTATTTCTCCTTACTTTTTAAAAATTCCTGCTCATCATTCCTTCAAACCATCTCCCTTGTATTTTTCACCCATGAATTCCCCTAGACCTACAAAACCACACCTTTGTCATGTTAGGATATCCCAGGGGCTTCATTAGCAGTAGGCAACAGGTGATTCTCACCAGTTGTTTTCACAAAATCGCCTGTTGTTTTTAGACTTTCCAACTTTTCCATGTTAAATTTATCATTTCCATTAATGTTGCCTGTTGTTTTCATTTATTTAGCCGGTTGTGAGAAATTCTAGTGAAACCCCTGATATCCTATGTTATTTGGAGTCAAATTAAGTTTAGATTCACAGCCACCAGTTGGGAAGGAAAATATCTAACATATATTCCAAAGGTTCAACTTTGAAAACTTCATTTCACTTTTATTCCAGCCAAATTGGTCCAGTTATACACAAATCATTTTGTAACAACACCCTATGCAGACAGAGCCTGTGGGAAATATTGGGTGCGGAGCAAATGAGCGGAGGGTGCGGAGCTAACGGTTATTTTTGAATTTAAATTTGGGATATTTCTGAAACTAAGCCGTTTTGGGACTTCAAATATACCAAGATATGTGTATTTGACACCAAATATCAATACAATTGTGAAAATAGTAGCGCAATTCATTCTATAGCGACGCAGTGTGCCTTAAACCTTTCCCAGACCTATATATTTTGAAATTATCCTTTTAATACTGAGTCCCCAGCATTCATAAAAAATGGTGTTCAAGGTGCACTCTCTATACAAATTATTTTTGCATCTTGGAAGCCAGGCAGTATCTGTGTGATTTTATAAAAATTCGGAAATTTTTTCAGATATGAGCCCCCTCTAAATATTGGGTGCGGAGCAGCTCCATAAACGTAGCTCCGCACCCAATATTTAGAGGGGGCTCATATCTGAAGAACATTTCCGAATTTTTATAAAATCACACAGATACTGCCTGGCTTCCAAGATGCAAAAATAATTTGCATGGGTAGTGTATCTTGAACACCATTTTTTATGAATGCTGGGGACGCAGTATTAAAAGGATAGTCTCAAAATATATAGGTCTGGGAAATGTTTAAGGCATACTGCGTCGCTATAAAATGAATTGCATTACTATTTTCACAATTTTATTGATATTTGGTGTCAAATACACATATCTTGGTATATTTGAAGTCCCAAAACGGCTTAGTTTCAGAAATATCCCAATTTTAAATTCAAAAATGACCGTTAGCTCCGCACCCTCCGCTCATTTGCGCCGCACCCAATATTTCCCACAGGCTCTGTCTGCATAGGGTGAACAATAGACCTCTGTTCTAATCAAATCTCAGCTTATAATATTAAAGTGTCTCTCCATAGCTCAGTCCAATAACCTTTTAATTTCTTGTCTCTCTCTGGAATTTTTCTGTGGCTAATATAACACTAGCTTTATTAATAACATCATGATCTATGATCAAATATTCAACTCCACACTCCATCAACTTGTTTGCCCAGGTGTGACTTTCACACATTTTCACATTAGAATTTCTCAGAAAGTGCACTTCAGTCCACAAAAACATGTTTTTAGACTTTTTAGGGAGTACTGTGAGATATAGCGAATTGCTCGAATGATAGACTAATTGTTACACAGAGGAAATTTGTTTTCCAAACGGATCTAATTTTTTAAATGTATTCAGCTAATGAAACCTGCCACTTAGATCCTGTTTATGAGACACATTTTCTGTAGAAGTTGGAATAAATGACTGATTTCTTTTTCATATATTCTAATGTATATCCCCACCATTACACGTGGAATCCTGTTTGAGTATTAATTTTGAATTATGATACATGTAGGTTGAAATTTTATAAAAGATGAATTAGTTGGAATCCTCATGACTTTGATACATTGTCTTCAAGGAGATTTCCGCCTGCCAGACTTTAGGTGTAGATACTGTATACATGTGAAGCTTAGCTACTCACTTCTTTGCTTAATCCTCTGTTTAATACATTAATTACTTTTTGTTTAAATCACAACACTGCAGGACTTTATGAATAACAAGGGCTGATAAGATAAAGGAAGTTGCAAATAAGAATGAGAAGACTGGGATTAATTGGGCAATAAACTTATAAGAATTACAGTGACATGTCCTGTTCACTAAAACATTCATCTAGTATGTTTATTTCAGACAATTTGATTGGGATTTGTTTTTTTATAAAATGGAAACAACAATAGTAAAGAATAATTCTGAAAAGGCTACCCCACATAATGCTGGGGGGGGGGGGGGCTGAAAGGAAGGGAAAGATAAACAGAACTTGGGTATTCCATGCATTTAAAATATTTAAAAGGTGGCTATAGAAATATTGAAAAATGAACACATAAATGTCATGATATTAAGTTTTCCTGGAATAAGGTATTCAACTTAGGGAATTAAAAAATGCATACATGACAAGAATTGTTATAAAATATTCTGCTCTTCAGACTATGGAATGGGCTTGAATCATTCAAGTGACCTAAGTCGCGCTTTTACTAGCTTATATGGCAAATCATCAAGGCAACCATCACAATGTCAAATGATGTGATTGTGATTCAAAGATATGACATATCACATAAACTATGACGTCAGTCACATATTTTCCCCAACGAGCAACTATAAACAAACAAATAATTGTAATGTCACACATCACTTTTGATTCTATATTAACATGTGACGTCATCAATATGTTACCTAACCAACAACAAAACAAGCATTTACTAGATTAGTAGTGTGTTCATTGACGTTCTTTGTTGTCTTTTCATAAAAAGTAGATCAGTTTTCACATGGCCTTTGTATTTTTCTAGTGAAATTCACTGGATCATCTTGTTTGGAATGGTTGTTCACTTGATCTGATTCTGATTCTGCCTTCAGTCTTTTACTTACAGAACTCTAGTAATTGCTATAAGAGGCTCAGAACAATACATAGATTGGGTGTCACAGGCAGCTGATGAAAGATGATTCCTGTCATACTTTATTTTATCCATTTCTCTCTCATATTTGAATGAAGTGCCTGATTGTTTTGTATTCCTTTACCATTTAAGGCATTGGCATTATGGTTTTGTACTCCATTGCTTTTTCTTTCCATCAATTTTCACCATATTTCACATTTTTAAACATGAACAGTCAAAATTTTAATGATGGGTTGCTGCACTGACAGCTCATGAGGAAAAAATCAAGATGGTCACATTTCAAACTTAAAATATTTTAAAACAAGGGCCATAGAAAGGATATAAAGTATATCGACATAAAGTTCATTTTCTAAATTGTACACAATTGCAATAACATTGCACACTTCATTCAAATTTTAGAGAGAAATCATATGAAATAGTGAGTTTGTGGTGAAAAGTGAATCAAGATTCTCAAGGAACAATGTAGCAAGTGAATGAAGATCTGGCAGACAAATCAAGAGTGAGTTACAAGGCCGTTGTTATGTGAGATAAGAACATCATAAGGACAAGATCTTTGGCGACCGAAATTGTCAAAGAATCATGGACTTTAAATAAAAATGCAATAAATATTAAAATAAGGCATAAAAATATGACATTTCTGATGGAACTGCTACAAACTTGGTGGGAACTGTAAAAGATGGAGAGTAATATATGGTATGGATTACAATAAAAAAAGTTCTTTAAAATACGAACATAAAAACTTCAGAGGCACAGCTTAACCATTTTACCAGTTATGTTGCTTAAAACAATGATATACCTTAAAACCAAAAGCGAAATCAAATGTACAACAATAATTGAAAAAATATAACACTTATCATTTTAGAAAGTTTTTTATTTTTATGCTCAACTAAAAAAAACAGGGAATTGTGTTTTTCTCTAAAATTTGAGTCTATATACCTGCATTATTTGCACTATTATCAAGTCAATATCTGACATATTTGCATTAATAAATACTAAATAAAAGAAAACACAAGTAATATTTGATTATTAAGAAAAAGTGTTAAACTGCTCATTTTAAGTACATAAATACGAAATAAAAGAATAATAAGATCAAAACAAATAGAATAAAACGTCACTTATTTGCAATATCCATTTACTAAATAACTTAACAAAAAGCTCTCCAGTTTGTAAAATATCATAGCTGTCATGATTTAACATATAAAATTCCATTACCAAAGAGCTATAAATATAGCAAGAAATAAAGGCGTATGGGCAAGTATGTACTAAGCCTCAGTCACATTTGCTCTATGCCAGCCGTACGGTGGCCATAGCTTCACAAAATCGATATAGAAAATCTACATCGTAGTGCTTATCCCTATATTTTAAGCTGCATATTTCTCTCGATTTTGGGAAGCTTCAGCCACCGTACGGTTGCCATAGATCAAATGTGACTGAAGCAAAACACTCCAAATTACGTAGAAATGCCAAATACTCAGATAGCTCATTCCGACTTTAAAGAATCATGACACACTATCTGATAATTTAAGCAAGGGAACATCAATATAGGTAGTTTAACAGGTACCTAATTAACAAAAAACTACAAGCGTATCTAATTTCATCCACAAGAAAAAAAGCAATAACTCCAAGCACAATGTATGATAACTTCAAGATGAATGACAAACTCCTAATACTCGACAGAAGTGGCAGGACTGGGGCAAAAAAACGTGGAAAATTGGAAAGATCCCTAGGAAGTTATTTGGACATATCCCCTATAGATGATGAAAGGAAAGTACTGATAACTGTAAGTTTTGAATTGTTTTCAATTACCTAACAATGACTACTAGTATTTTGTTTGTTTGCTTGACTGCCAACTTGATTGTTTCATTGTTTGGTAATGCCATTTGACAATTGGCCAAGAAATGACAACTTTGACTGCAATTTTTTAAAATACAATGCTTTCAGCCTAGGCTCCACAAGTACCGTATATAAATTAATTTTACAAATAAAAACCTTGATATTCAGGAAAATTGCTGAGAGACATTCAGAAAAAACTTATATTTATCATTGTATCTTCAACTATATGTTCTGTAAGGATGTACATGGAGAAACATGGAGAGATATTATTAAAGGACATTATTTACAGCTGTACAATAAATAATTCAATGAAAACATACTTTTATATTGTGACTTACATGAGGAAGTTAAACTGAAACCAAAGCAGATAAGTCATAAATCTTGTTTATATTGCATGTTACCCAGGCAGTTCATACATGTATATACAACCTGTCTAATGTAAAGCCTGTCTAATCCGAACACCCCTGGAGACCAGCCAAAAGTGTTCATATTAGCAGGTGTTCACATTTCAAGGTTTTATAAACATGTGAGTCCATGGGGCATTACAAATTAGGACTAAGAAAAAGTGTTCACATTGCGAGGTGTTCGGATTAGAGAGGTGTTCAGATTTACAGGTTTCACTATATATGAAATTGTCATTTCAATCACAAACAATGCAAAAACAGTGTGAATATGTATATCCAGTTCATGATTTGGGATAGTTGGGGTTTATTTTCCTTAAGACTGATGTTCTCTTAGATGTTTTCTTTTTCTTGCTGGGTTCTGTAACAATTGTTGGTTCTATCCCTTTGAGACTTGAGCATATTTAGTTTCAGAGTTTTTGAGTTTATAGAAAATTAAACCATTAAAAATTCTGAGATATTTTTAGATGTCAAATATTATATTTAGCGATAAGAATTATCTGGAATTTAATATTTCAATATCAAATAAAACACACCCTGATTAACCTTTTTTCTAAGTTTAACGACTTTTGCTGAATTCTACAATTACATTCAGTGTATATTCAGTATTCATAAAAAAGTAAATCCGTACAGAAAACAAAATTTCACTCTCAAACACTGATAATCAGAAAAATATGAAAACCCATTATGATATTCAAACTTCATATCCCTTCATATCCATACTCTCCATATCCATATTTTTTATATTCATATCCTTTATATCTTCATATCCCTTGCATTCATATCACTATCCTTTGTATAAATACCAGTCATATCCATACCATTCATATCCACTGCTTTCATATCCCTGCCCTTTGTATCCATCCTGTCATATCTATACCCTTCATATCACTATCCTTTGTATCCATACCTGTCATATCTATATCTATCATATCTATTTCTCTCACATTCCTGCCCTTTGTATCTACACTTGTCATATCTATACCCTTCATATCACTATCCTTTGTATCCATACCTGTCATATCTATATCCATCATATCTATTTCTTTCACATTCCTGCCCTTTTTATCCACACCTGCCATATCCATACCCTTTGTGTCAATACCTGTCATATCCATCTCATTCATATCCCTTGCTTTCATATCCTGCCCTTTATATCCATACCTGTCATGTCCATACCCTTTGTATCAATACCTGTCATATCCATACTATTCATATCCACTGCTTTCGTATCCCTACCCTTTATATCCATACCTGTCATATCACTACCCTTTGTATCCATACCTGTCATATCACTACCCTTTGTATCCATACCTGTCATATCCTTACCCCTCATATCCCCCTGCTTTCACATCCCTGCCCTTTGTATCCATACCTGTCATATCCATACCCTTTTTATCCCTTGCTTTCATATCCCTGCCCTTTATATCCATACCTGTCATTTCCATACCCTTGATATCCATACCTGTCATGTCCATACCCTTTATACCCATACCTGTCATGTCCATACCCTTTATATCCATACCTGTCATGTCCATACCCTTTATATCCATACCTGTCATGTCCAAACCCTTTATATCCATACCTGTCGTGTCCATACCCTTTATATCCATACCTTTGTGTCCATACCCTTTATATCCATACCTGTCATGTCCATACCCTTTATATCCATACCTGTCACGTCCATACCATTTATATCCATACCTGTCAAGTCCATACCCTTTATATCCATACCTGTCACGTCCATACCATTTATATCCATCTGTCATGTCCATACCCTTTATATCCATACCTGTCATGTCCATACCCTTTATATCCATACCTGTCATGTCCATACCCTTTATATCCATACATGTCATGTCCCTTTATATCCATACCTGTTGTGTCTATATCCTCTATATCCATACCTGTCATGTCCATACCCTTTATATCCATACCTGTAGTGTCTATACCCTCTATATCCATACCTGTCATGTCCATACCCTTTATATCCATACCTGTCACGTCCATACCATTTATATCCATACCTGTCAAGTCCATACCCTTTATATCCATACCTGTCATGTCCATACCCTTTCCATACATGTCATGCCCATACCCTTCAAATCCATATCATCCATACCAATACCTGTCATATCCATACCCTTTATATCCGTCTCCAGCATATCTCTACCAATCATATCGAAAAGAAGAAAATTATTGAAAATCATGGCACATCCTCTATAAACACTGTACATCAATTTCTGAATTAGTATGACACCAACTGATATCACTCATGTCTACCAAGGGAAACATCATTGAGCAGGTCATGAATTATTTATATAAATGTCAAAAGCAGCTTAGGCTAAGTACAGGCTAAGTGCTACTTCAGCAATAATATTATTTTTATTTTTCCTAATTTTAAAGAGGGCTTCGAGTTTTAAATAAGTGTTTTATTCATTTTTACTCCGAAAATACATTTCAAAAATTATGAATTTTCCTGGAATATACAAGAAACAATTTGACAGGGAAAGTCAAGTAGGAACTGCATTAAAGGCCTTGTATTAATTAAGATGACTACATAACAGTTATCTATCGAGGATAATAAATATTTTTAAATGAGTATAGTCAGCATACTTGTACATAAACGGATAAATTAATGAATGGTTTATTTCAGGATTCAAAAGAAGTGGCGGATGGACAACAACAGTAAGTAAATATTTTGACTTGCTCTATTGATTAAAATGTTAATTGGATGTTTTAATCTTATCATTCCTATTCCTGATTTGTGATGTTTCATCTAAGGATAATAATAAAGTTGGCAATGAAATAAATTGAACGGCAATTGATTTGACAATTAATGCTTCACTGCAAGCCTTACAAATTGTGACAATTCTCATTGTAACATAATTACATTGAAACCTATTATGTGTATGTGCTAAATAGCATCTCTGTTATATATCAGTACTAAATAGTATCTCTGTTATATACTAAATAGTATCTCTGTTATGTATAAGTACTAAATAGTATCTCTGTTATGTATAAGTACTAAATAGTATCTCTGTTATGTATAAGTACTAAATAGTATCTCTGTTATGTATAAGTACTAAATAGTATCTCTGTTATGTATAAGTACTAAATAGTATCTCTCTTATGTATAAGTACTAAATAGTATCTCTGTTATGTATAAGTACTAAATAGTATCTCTGTTATGTATAAGTACTGAATAGTATCTCTGTTATATATAAGTACTAAATAGTATCTCTGTTATATAAAAGTACTAAATAGTATCTCTGTTGTGTATAAGTACTAAATAGTATCTCTGTTATGTATAAGTACTAAATAGTATCTCTGTTATGTATAAGTACTAAATAGTATCTCTCTTATGTATAAGTACAAAATACTTTCAACCTACACGTATATACTATTTACAGTTTCTTTCAATTTTTGACAATTTACAGTAATAGACAGAATCATTAACTTTCAAATTATCAGAAATAATCCCAAAATTCAATCTTCGACCCATTCCCTTAAATTGATAGAATGTTGAAATATATTTTGAAATTACAAGAACAATTTCTTATTTTCTGGATAGCTCTATTTCAGCCCAAGGGCCAAGGTTGACACAATAGGATATTAATACATTGTCCAATATACTTTACAAGAAATATAAATAAACGTTTGTTATGATAACATTTGAATCAATATCTCAAATAAAACTCAAATTCTGGACAACAGTTTTAAATAATCCTTGTATATAAGAAAATATTGTTATATTATCTTAAGTCAAACAAATCGAAGGAAAAACAAATATTCAAGATCATGGAAGGGTCAAACAAGGTTAGAAACTAAGAAACATTCTATTTTTATTTGGAAAATATGAACCGAACAACACCCTATGCAGACAGAGCCTGTGGGAAATATTGGGTGCGGAGCAAATGAGCGGAGGGTGCGGAGCTAACGGTTATTTTTGAATTTAAATTTGGGATATTTCTGAAACTAAGCCGTTTTGGGACTTCAAATATACCAAGATATGTGTATTTGACACCAAATATCAATACAATTGTGAAAATAGTAGCGCAATTCATTCTATAGCGACGCAGTGTGCCTTAAACCTTTCCCAGACCTATATATTTTGAAATTATCCTTTTAATACTGAGTCCCCAGCATTCATAAAAAATGGTGTTCAAGGTGCACTATCTATACAAATTATTTTTGCATCTTGGAAGCCAGGCAGTATCTGTGTGATTTTATAAAAATTCGGAAATGTTCTTCAGATATGAGCCCCTCTAAATATTGGGTGCGGAGCAGCTCCATAAACGTAGCTCCGCACCCAATATTTAGAGGGGCTCATATCTGAAGAACATTTCCGAATTTTTATAAAATCACACAGATACTGCCTGGCTTCCAAGATGCAAAAATAATTTGCATGGGTAGTGTATCTTGAACACCATTTTTTATGAATGCTGGGGACGCAGTATTAAAAGGATAGTCTCAAAATATATAGGTCTGGGAAATGTTTAAGGCATACTGCGTCGCTATAAAATAAATTGCACTACTATTTTCACAATTTTATTGATATTTGGTGTCAAATACACATATCTTGGTATATTTGAAGTCCCAAAACGGCTTAGTTTCAGAAATATCCCAATTTTAAATTCAAAAATGACCGTTAGCTCCGCACCCTCCGCTCATTTGCGCCGCACCCAATATTTCCCACAGGCTCTGTCTGCATAGGGTGAACAATAGACCTTGGATCCATGGACACCAAATCGTTGTCTTATTGTTGTCTTTAAGAAACTTGATCACGATAAATTAATTCAATATAAGTTTAAGGTAACAGATAATATATAAGGCATTAACATCACAAAATGTTGTAAATGCACTTGAAAATATGAAAAACATGAAAGATTTGCAAACTTCAACCAAGTTTTGCAAGAATTGTGAAAAAACAATGTAACATTAAAAATATGACTTGAAGAACTCCTTTATTTCAAATCAAAGGGTAAAATGTTCAAGCTTTTAAAAGCCTCTTAGTGTTCCTAAATTAACCATTTTATTTCTATCATAAGTCACCTTCAATTTCCATTATTAAAAGATTGCAACTAATTTATAGTTATTACTCTCCCTTTATTCAAATATATAAGCGGGTATCCCTTGCATTAATACAGTAAGATGTAATTACAAAATCTCGCTGGATCAAACTTGCGTAATCATCATTAAAGCTTAACACTGTAATTGAATATATAGTAATTGTCTATTAAAAGCACTGAGATTCTGCGTAAAGGGGAAGGCTTAATTCTAAAATGACACAAATAATCTGAGAATATGTGGACCAATGAACTAAAGGCAGAAGTTTAGGCATGTTTTACATTCTCCACTAATTTACATGGGCATTTATTAGCTCACAAGACTGGTAATAGCTACATGGATTATGTGGGAAATTATGACAAAACTTTCAGATTTATGCGTCCTTTGTAAATATCTTATCTCTAAGATAATGCTAGTTTCTATATATAAGTCACATGGTGGAATTGCGTTTGAACACAAAAGTGAAAAGTAAAGTATGTAATAAGCAAGAAATAAAGCACAAATATCACTAAGAATTTTATAGAATTATAGATATTTCAGAACTTCTGATGAACAAAAAAGATTGAAACACTGGTCATATGACAGATCTTTGTTAAAGTAAACATATAGAAATTATAAAACAACTATTCTATGAGTCAAGTAAAACCTCAACAATTTATTGACTCTATGAAAACAAATAGAAGTGAAGATCATCTGTGTACAATGGCCAGACACAATGGCAAGTGACTGAAAGTATATTCAGAAAATAAAATTGGAAAAACCTTTTATGTTGCCATGGATACAGTAGAGGAAATAGATTTTGCTGACAGGTAATGAACGCTATATATATTAGAACACTTGGCACTGACATAGTTCTTAGTGACACCATGTAACACTATGATGTCACTATATGTGCATAATTTTATGAATCTTTAATAACTACATGAATCTTTTCTACATATCCTTAAGTTTCTAAATATAACAATATTGCTTGACTATCTTTACTGAAAATAATTTTTCATCAACTTTTAAATAGTACTTTTGCTATTTTTCAATCAACTTCTATTAATTTCTTTTAAAATAGCTTAGGATGTGTTTTCAAACTGAGAAAGGTCTGCGCTTCACATCTTGATTACATTTTTGTATGACAAAAATATGAGCCACGGTGTTTAAACTTAAAATGGGACTTTAGGTTATTAGAAAAGTGTAACAATTACTCTCAATGCCAGACACAACAATGAAGACCATAACTCCTCACTTCTAGGGGATGACCATACCTCCTCATTTCTAGGGGATGACCATAACTCCTCATTTCTAGGGGATGACCATAACTCCTCACTTCAAGGGGATGACCATAACTCCTCACTTCTGAGGGATGACCATAACTCATCACTTCTAGGGGATGACCATACCTCCTCATTTCTAGGGGATGACCATAACTCCTCACTTCAAGGGGATGACCATAACTCCTCACTTCTGAGGGATGACCATAACTCCTCACTTCTGGGGGATGATCATAACTCCTCACTTCTAGGGGATGACCATAACTCCTCTCTTCTAGGGGATGACCATAACTCCTCACTTCTAGGGGATGATCATAACTCCTCACTTCTGGGGGATGACCATAACTCCTCACTTCTAGGGGATGATCATAACTCCTCACTTCTAGGGGATGACCATAACTCCTCTCTTCTAGGGGATGACCATAACTCTTCACTTCTGGGGGATGACCATAACTCCTCACTTCTAGGGGATGATCATAACTCCTCGCTTCTAGGGGATGACCATAACTCTTCACTTCTGGGGGATGACCATAACTCCTCACTTCTAGGGGATGACCATAACTCCTCACTTCTAGGGGATGATCATAACTCCTCACTTCTAGGGATGACCACAACTCCTCACTTCTGGGGGATGACCATAACTCCTCACTTCTAGGGGATGATCATAACTCCTCACTTCTAGGGATGACCATAACTCCTCACTTCTAGGGGATGATCATAACTCCTCACTTCTAGGGATGACCATAACTCCTCACTTCTGGGGGATGACCATAACTCCTCACTTCTAGGGGATGACCATAACTCCTCACTTCTAGGGGATGACCATAACTCTTCACTTCTGGGGATGACCATAACTCCTCACTTCTGGGGGATGACCATAACTCCTCACTTCTGGGGGATGACATTATAACAACTGCATGTTTCCTTCCAAACTTATATGTAACAACTTCAAGCAAACACCCTAAGATCGAGTAATATCCATCGGCTATAAAAACATCACCAATTTCTAATACAAACCAATGGATAAGACAAATTATGCTGATCTAATATTACGAACAAATATTAGACTCAATCTTGTCGATCTCTTCAAAATGTCTCTAGAGGTTAACCCTAATGACTACAATTTTGTGTTATAATAACAACTAATGGTTATTATGTGACTTAACCCTTTGAGTGCCATTGGGCCGATTCGGCCGATGGGAAAATGTATGTCGCTTAAGTGCCAAGATCGGCCCAAAATCGGCCCAAAATAACGCGTTTATATACACAGGGAAATATGTCATCAACTGAGAATGAATAATCTATTCTTATTTATTTATGTTTGTTTAGGTCGGTCTTAATAAATCGACCCGGTCT